TATAACTGTTCATAGTAGTTACTGATTATTCTTTTGATTTCTGCTGTGTCCGTTGTGATTTCTCCTCTTTCATTGATGATCCTGTTTATTTGTGCTTTCTCCCTTTTTTCCTTTGTGAGCCTGGCTAGGGGTTTGTCTATTTTATTGATTTTTTCAAAGAACCAGCTCTTGGTTTCATTGATCTTTTGGATTGTTTTTTTAGTCATTTCTATTACTTTTTAAAGATTTATTTAATTTATTTATACAAGCACTGGGGTACAGTCAGAAGTGCGGGAGGGTGAGAGAATTCACCGGAGCCAGAGTGGGGAACAGAGCAGGCAGACTGACGAAATACACTGCTGAGGGGAGCAGAGGGCGGCAGTAGAGGTCTGCGCGCCATGTGGGACGCTCACCCGGCGGCTGGGGATCGAACCAGCGCTGCAGAGGCTGCGGGCAGCTTTGCAACCCAGTGCTCAACCACTGTGCCACTTGGGAGGCCCACATTTCTATTACTTTCAATTTAGCTCTTTAATAAGTGATAACTTTAAAGCTAATAAAGGTAGAAAGTAGGAAAGTAATGGACAATACCTCAATAAGTTAACTGTTAGAAACAAATGATTCCCTGCAAGGTTTCATGACAGCCAAAGGGTTTAGACCTCTTGCCTTTTCTTGGAGGGAACTTACCTTTATGGTAAGTCTTCTGGAGTTTAGTAAATAGAGAATGAAAGGACTTTAAACTTGAGTATGGTAGAGGTCTTGACTTGTATTTTATTATTTAAGACCAAAACAGACTCTCTGTGTCTAAGTAAAGATGTAACTCTCAGATTGGTGGAAGAGTATATAGAGGGAATTCAAAGTTTCAGAAAGGGTCAGAAAATACACTTTCCACTGTGTGATTCAGAGACTGAATGAGTCAAGCTCAAGCACTTCTGAAGCACGTGGGCTGGGACTGAATAGGGGAAGGTGTTGAGAATTGTGCAGTTGGCTCTCTAATGATGGTGTGCTGCCATCAACAAATTCCACTGGGAAGAAAATTTAAATCAACAAAGGGATTCAGATATTTAATTAGATGCCACAGTCTACTGTTTCACAGCAACACTACAGTTGGCCTTTTGGGCAGGACAATGATTTTGTTTGACTTACTTACTTGATGGTGGAATTTAACATTTTTATCTCTGTCCTCTAACCACTTGGTTAGCTACCCTCTCACTGCAATGTGAGTCAGTGTGATAACCCGCTCCCAGGATGACAACCAAACTCTCTAGTCCTTGAGAATCAGAGCTATGCTAGCATGGTTACATTCCAGTATTCCTGAATATTAGCTAAGTAATCAGATTCCCAGCTAAAGTCTACACTTCACACATTCAGCTCTGTGTGTTCTTCCAGTAATACTCCTCAAAAGGAAAGGATGTGGGCTATCCTTGCTTTTGTCCATCGCTGCTGGGTGGGGGATGACAATAACTATAGTAGACACCTTGGATCAGGTGAGGGAGACCCACATTGAAGATCCCTGAGCCACGTCTGACCACCTGAACCACCTGCCTCTGGGCTTTTCTGTGAGTGAAAATAAACTTCCTGTTTAAGGCACTGGATTCTGAAGTCTCTATGTCCTAGTCGCTTAGCTTCTATAACTAATCACATAACTCCTTACTCTAGTTTCTCAAGAAAAAGAGTCCTGGGGATGGGGTGGCGCAAGGGGTTAAGCACCACAAAATGAAGCAATCTGCAGCCTCTGCAGCATGAGTTTGATCCCCGGCAGGCCAGGGAGAAACCCACATGGCGCAGCAGACCTCTCCTGTCTCACCCACTGCTCCCCTCAGCAGTGTATTTCAGTCAGTCTGCCTGTTCTGTTCCCCACTCTGTCTCTGGTGAATCCTCTCACCCCTGCCCTCCCCCTGCCCCGCATCTCTGGCCTGTACCCCAGCTCTTGTATGCGTAAATAAATAAATCTTAAAAAAAAAAAGAAAAAAGAGTCCTTTTGGATCTTAAAAAAGATCACACACTGGGAGTCTCCTTAGAGCAGAGTTCGCAGAGGCACATGCTCCCTGTGTCTCCTTAGGTAAAGAAAGGATGATCCTTGTACCTTCTCTGTCTTTCTAAAGAGAACAATAAGTTATAACTGACTGACCAAGAAAAACAGCATGTGACTAAGCCCACTTCAGAGTTAATCAAGAGGAGGATGTCTGCAGGCTCTGGGTGGCAAATAATTCCAAGAGGCATTTGGTCCCAAAATAGCTCAGTGCCTGCACCACAACAATGGCTTGTCTTCTCAGAAAGAAGAGTCCAGCCACAACTGCATGGCCATCTCACCCACCGAGACAAGGGGGGTGAGATGTTGCCGCTAATTTCTACACTTAACCAGCTGTCTGGGGAAAAGAGGATACGGGATAAACACATTTCTTCTGACTTTAGAAAGAACAAAATCCAGGAAAAATATTCTCGGGGAGACAGGGAATGGGTGAGTTCTGGCTAAAATGCTACAGAAGTGACTCAGAATAGGCTTGGTGGAGGGCAGGAGTGGGGAAGCCTGGCCCCATGAGCAAAGGAGAGGGGCCCCCAAGAGTGATAGGGAGGGGACTGAATCTAGGAATCTGGCCCATTTAGATACTAGAAACAGATGGGTTGAGAAAAGCAGGAGGGTGCAGGAGATGCTAGCAATTATGAAGGCAAGCCTGGTGGAAAGGACAAGTGGAAGAAATATCCTAGGTAAGGGGAGTCTCCCCTCTATTTTGTGAGGGTACTTCCCCAAGAGGAGGGAATAGTATGATCACCTGGGGACTCTCCCTAAGTCACACTGGCCTGGTCTAGGCAACTAGAATTTAAGTCCTGTGAAGGCTGAGACTATGAAAAACAGAAAGGGTGAATTTAGAGCAGACTCACACAGGACTCTCTTTTTTAAAATTCTATTTATTTATTCGTCTACTTATTTATTTTTAATTGAGGAAACACTGGGATACCCCACCAGGCCTATCACCAACTCACCCATCCTCACAAAGGACTCTTTAACATAGTCCGTATCAGAGAAGAGAGAAGGGGCTGGGACTGACCAGCTGAGAGGCAACTGGCACTGTGCAAGAAGTGCAGTCTTTTAAAGTTCTGGACAGTATGGAAGCGGTTGCCCAACACAGTGGCAAAAGCCTGCCCGTTCATCTTTGGAGAGATACAATCAGCAACCCGACAGAATTCTGGCAGAAGCAATTAGCTCATGAATTAGTTATCAAATAGCTCATGCAGCCAAGGTCTTGGGAGTGCTGATCTGCAAACTTTCCCCAGGAACCTCAGGACAAAAGGGTCAGCCACCTGCTTTAATTTGCAGTCACTATTTTGGCCAGTCTGTCTCCACCACCACCCGGCCACCCCCGCCACCCTACCCATTCTCCCTGCGTGCATGCTCAACGTTCCCTCCTCTCCACTCTCACCCTGGACCCAGACATGGTGAGCCACCCTCACCGCCTCTGCCTGCTCACCCTCCATCTCTAAAAAATCATCTCCCACTGTTCTTTGCCTCATTTACTCTGCTGCAGCCATACTGGTCTCCTTGCTGCCTCACAAGCATGATGTGCCTGGCTGATGCTGCCTCAGGGTGTGTGCACTCGCTGATCCCTCTGTATAAGACGCTCTTTCCTTATATGTCCCTCATTTTCTTCAGCTCTCCGCTCAAATGTCATCTTATTATTAAGGAGGTGTCCTCTCCCCCCCTTGCTGCTTGCACTCTGGGAATGTCCTTATTTCTCTCTCTAACATCCATTACTGACATAGGGTAGATATATCTGCTTGCTTGCTTACTGTCTGACTCTGCATTAGAAAGTAGTATTTCCCCTGCTAGGCTATTTCCCTGATGAATGAAGGATCTGTAGTCCAAATTCCAAACAAAATCAACAAAGATCTAAAATCTCCTTCAAGCTGTCACTGTCTCTATGATTATGAAATAAAGACAATTCTACCTTCATATTGTTTATTCATCAACTATCTCTTGCCTTCACATCCATTCAGCTGCCAAGTTCTATAGGCTCCCATGCGAAATTCCTTCTATCCTTCCTTCCTCCCTTCCACCAACTCCTGTTTATCGAATACTTACGAGAGAGCCTACATTGTCACCTGCATTATTCTCATTTAATTCTTCCTACTATTTGTCCCTCTCAGTAAAGCCTCACTACCTCCTATCTGGCCAAATGTGAAACTTTCTAACCACCATCACTGCCTCCTTCTTTCTTTCAATTTATCTTGCTCACTGCCTTTCCCCACTGCCCACTGAATTAAACAGAGATTACTTATTCCAGCTTTGAAGACCCCCCATAAAATCTCCATCTACCCATGAGCCCTGTTTACTATTTTCAGAACATATGCTTTAGCCAACCACTACATGCTGTTCTCATCTCTGCAAATAACGCAATTTCCGTCTGTCTAAACTCTGTCTTCCAAGGGGACTCTTAAATGTCACCATTGTGTACCTTCCCACCTCAAGTAACCTCTCCTACTTTTGAATCCCTGTGACATCAGGTTTACATATAATTTTAAAAACACTTGCCATAACTTTCCTAAGTTATGGTTATCTACAGTTTCCTTATCTCACCAACAGAGAATTCTGGAGGGTGAGGATTGTATTTTTGTATCTCATTCATCTTTTCTTTTTCCCAGCAACAGCTAAACTAGAATCTTTTCTTGACACACATGCTCACTTGTTATTTGTTGCACAGCATATCACACCCTGCCTGGTGCTCAAAGACTTAAGAACAGGGCATAGTGCTTGCCCTAAATGAACTGACAACCTAGTTATGGAGACAGGATTGCTTACATAAAATTCCAATTTTTAAATTTAATTTTCAGCAAGTAACTACTTAGTATCTATTGTGTGTTTTGTATAATGCGAGGCAGTATATAATAGTAAAAAAATTAGTGGTGTGGAAAATAAATATTAATTAAGACAGATTCTAGGTGTACCTGTACACGTGACACAGCTGCCCCCAACACTTACCAGACCCCATCAGTTGGTGTGATAGAGGAAGAGGTGCTAGGCTTACCTGGGGACGCTGCATGTTCTAGGTGGCCCAGCTCAGGCTGTCTGGTGATTCTGTAGGTCAATTCTGCAGGCTCCTTCTCCTGGTCAGTGGCAGAGAGCTGCAGAGTAGTGATTTTCTTCACTGAGTCTTCATCTATAACCAGTCCTTTATTTGTGATGATGACAGGTGGGGATTTGTCTTCTGAAAATATCAGAAATTGTGATTTGAAAAGGGAAGTTTTCTACCTCTTTTCCTCAATTCTAGGATGAGATCAGAAGAGTCCTTATGCATATCCCATAGAAAGGTACCAAGGAGTGAGAGCTTCATACAAGGGGGTGATTTCAGATTTCTACCCAGCAGATTAAAGGGACGGGCTCAAGCCTCAAGGTGAGTACAGTGTAGACTATTTAACCTTTTGAAATCCAAAGACCCCTTACCCAAGACATTGATGGAAAATGACTGGCCAATCAGTTTGTTGCCTTCTTCATCTACTACATCAAATCTAAGAGCAAAGCTCCCACCAGGTTCTCCTTTTCTATGCCTGTATTCTACTTGGTCTGCAAAAAGGACAATACAAATTAAAATTCAATATTAATGCCTTTCCCCCTATTTCTGAAGCAGAATAGTATTCCCACCATGTATCAACTATGACTTTCCTCTTTTGACACTAATTTTTACTTAAAGTTTTCATTCCCTTCCCTTCCCACTATTCATTTTCTCATAATCAAAGAACCCCTCATAATAAAATCATTCCGAGTAGCACTGTTTATGGTTGAGGCTCAGCTTTTGTGAAAGACTCTAAGGAAGCCTCATGAATAACTAGATCAGCTAAATTACCCAAGTGTGAAATGTGTGTGACCCCACCCACATGGTTGGTGTGACCCTGTTATGCGTCCTTATCACAGGGAAGAGGACACAGTGCTGCAGAGCTCCTTTTTTCAATACAGCCTTAAATCATTTTTGGAACATAGGATATAATCAACCCACAAATAAATAAACACAACAAACTCTATACAGATGTAAAGGCATCTAAATGGAGAAGTACAATGTATGCATTTTTGTTAACCACAGCATCACTTCTAAGCACATATCAATGTAAATATAACCAAACATCTGGGAAGAGGTATCTGGTCTCATTTATTAAAAAGAGATAATGAAGCGAGGAATAATTAAGGAATTACAATCCCTTTGCCTATTCCATCCTTTTTTCTAAAGTACAGACAGGTCCATTGGGAATTTAGCTGCTACCAGTTTTAGCTGTCAGTGCATGGCCTTCTATAATGCTTATTTCTGCTTCATAGGTGTGTTTTTACCCATAAATGGAAAGGCACATCATGACTGTGCATTACTCCCTCTCGCTCTCTCACCCCAGTGTGTAACTCTTTTTTTCTCTTTTTTTTACCCCTGAAAGCACCGTACAGTAACTATGTAGCATTTAACATTTATGCTTTTACATTACATCAGCATTTCCTGGAGGAGGGATGAGCTATGTAATCTCCCCCAGGCAGCTCCGATTTATGCCCTTCCATTTTGCTTAGTTCATTAACTTGTGCTCTTTGGGGAGCTGAAAAGACATATAAATTGTTCACCTAAGGCAGGCATAATTTTCACCTTAATCCATCTGAATTCACTTCTTTTTCATTTCTTTCTCTCTCACACACTTTTTAGCATCAAAGCCAGTCAAAATGATTTTTCCTCTATAATGGCTCCAAATTTCATCAAGTGCTATATCAAAGTATGAACACAATTTAGCCAAGAAAGATAGCCTTTTTTAAAAACAAAAAATTGAAGAGACATGAAAGAATAAATGGAGCTAGAACACAGCCATTATTCAAAACCAAGAGTACACTGTTTACTGCCATAGGCTACTAGGCATTTAACTGCATTGTGTGTCTGTGGGTGGAGTCTGGGAAATCTAAGTAGAGAATGGGCTGACCTTGGCTAATGTCAGCCTGGGTGAAACTTCGGATGGGCCCTTTAACAGAGATTTGCTCCAGGTAGCCATGTTTGACCAACTGCAGACGCCCTGCACCTGGATCTTCCGTCACAACGTACATCACCTGACGGTCATCTGAGTCAGTATCTGTCACTTTCAAGTGCTGTTCTGTGATTCGTGCAACAGACCCTGGGAGAGAAAGGGAGAGGGGAGGTCATTCCCATCTTTTCTTTCGAATAGGATGTCAAATGATTTTAGGAAATTGGAGACTAAATTTTCACATATTTCCTGGGTCTCAGTAAGTATCAAGTGCTTGCCCTTCTAGTTTCCAGTTGAGTAAACTTTGATTTCAGCTTCTCAATTTGCTAACCATCCCTTGAGTTCATCGCTGAGCCCTTTTTCTCTTCTGATCCATGTTTACTCTCTTGATGGCCACTCCCCTCTGTAACTACCCAGGCCCCTCAAGGAACTCCTAGTATTACAATCTAAATTACGTACAGATCCATGGTAAAACATGCTGGACCTAATTCATTTTCTGTCTTGAGGATCATCAAATCATAAAGAGTAGCTTTATGGGTCTCCCTGGTGGCACAAGGGGTTAAGCACCGCTCTATGAAGCAATCCACAGCCTCTGCAGCAAGAATTTGATCCCCAGCTGGAGGGAGCAACCCACATGGCGCAGCAGACCTCTCCTGACTCGCCAGCTCCTTCCCTCAACAGTGGACTTTGGTCAATCTGCCTGTTTTGTTCCCTACTCTGTCTCTGGTGAATCCTCTTAGCCCCCGCATCTCTGGCCTGTACCCCAGTTCTTGTATGCATAAATAATCTTAAAAAAAAGAGTAGCTTTATGTAAACTCATAAATCTAGCCATCTCAGATTGAGTAGTTAAAATCAGTATTTCTCAAGACAGAGGATCTGGTGAGGATTTCAGAGCAAGGAGAACTGAGCACTTCATGTTGTAAGTCTGCACGGGAGTGGACATGGAGGCTTGGCACTGGCTACTGGCAAATACATCTTTTCAAGACCTTGCTTCTTGCTTTTCTCTCTAATCATTTTTTCATATGTCATTTCTCACAGTCAATTTAAAAATGACAAATTCTGATAAAGTAGATCCCAGCCATTCATGTATAATACCCCCTGGTGTAGGAGTGGCAACCCCACCATGCCCTAAGCTTCATCCTTGTATGTTTTTGCTGAGTAATGCCAACAAAACTAGAGCCTGACTGCTCATTACCCAGGTGGTTCTCAGCTAGCAACCTTGAGGGAGGAGGTGAAGTTTTCCTCTGGGACAAAGACCACATTTGCTTATCATTTAGTATAACATGGATAGTTCCCAAGCTCAGTGTTCTTCTTCTGCAGCACAACCACTGTCTGTGAAGGCTCCATTTGGGCCCTCTGCATCACCCCCATGGGCCGTGAGGGCAGAGGGAACCCACACATTTGCTACTGCCAATGTAGCCTGCTGTGTTAGAAGTAACAAAGAAATTTGTTGGGGCCTTCCTGGTGGTGCAAGGGGTTAAAGTGCAGCACTATGAAGCTATCCACAGCCACTGCAGAGTTCAATTCCCGGCCAGGGAGCAACCCACATGGTGCAGCAGACCGCTCCTGTCTCGCCCGCTGCTCCCCTCAGCAGTGTATTTCAGTCAGTCTCTTCTGTTCTGCTTCCCACTCTGTCTCCGGTGAATCCTCCCACCCCAACACCTCTGGTCTGTACCCCAGTTCTAGTATTGCATAAATAAATAAATCTTTAAAAAAACAATCAATAAAACAAAGAACTTTATCTGTGGAGAGGAATTCCATGTGTTCTACCAGCACCCATGAAACAGTAACAGGCTAGTTTATTAACCTGTAAATAGGGTGTAGTCAATTATAAGCCCCAATACCTGGGTTCTTTGGGAATCCCCAAACTTCAAATACCATTATATCATATATTATTCACTACAAAATACATGGGAAACTATGAATAGAGAACCCCGGTGGGATGCAGATGCTCTGTGTGCAACAGGCTCAGCCCCTAGTCAAGGAAATTCCACTAACACTGACTCCAGCACTGCTAGCTGTCATGGGTCCTGCATCATTGCTTATGCAAAGGCAAAATGAGGAATGTTCAACCCTAGAATACCATAGCTAATGATTCTCAATGATTGGCATAATCTCTTTTAGTGTATGATGACTTCCAACTGCTTTTTAAACTTTTATAAAAATTAACACCATGTCCTTTTTATATGACATCTTAGCGAGGTTGCCGTGGCAGCTGCTGCTCTTGGCGCATCATGATGCCATTCAACGAAAGCAAGAAGAAAAAAGATGCCAGAAAGTTGACCAGAAAAGACAAAGACCCAGGGGACACAGGTAGGAGCAAAGCCAAAAAGAAGTGGTCCAAAGGCAAAGTTCAGGACAAGCTCAATAAAAATGGAAAACTCTGTAAGGAAGTTCCCAACCATAAGCTGTTGGGTCTGAGAGAAGGAGGTTTATGGTTCTCTGATCTCAGCACCTCCTTACTAAAGGGCTTATTAACTTGCTTTTAAAGCAGAGCTCTCAAGTAATTTATAATAGAAAGACCAAGAGTGAAGATGCCCCAGCTCCTGGTAAGAATTTATGAGTAGTTCCCACCAATTGTACATTCTGAAAAATAAACTTTATTAAATAATAAATTAACATCTTGAAAATCCTGATCAATTTCATTCATTGTTGTTTTCTGTAGGTTGTTCGGGCAGTGGAAATATGCTAGAAAATCTGGGTCTACAAATAGTTTGGATAAATTAAGGTGTTTGAAGGCCCTGGAAATACTACAAACTCTTCTCGATCTTTCTTAAATTCACAGACAGGCTGATTTGACCCAAAGCATTTCAGTGATTCACATATGTCACTCATAACTCTTAGTTTCCCTAAAACAACAGCTCTCCCTAATTCCAGTCTCCCCAATTTCAATACAACCAGTATAAGATCTTCCCACAGAGCTCATGTCGAAGGTAGTACTGTACACTGCCAAGGAAGAGAGAAGGACAGAAGAACCATGGTACTTTTCCATTGCTGTGGTACCTGCTGAGAGCTGTAGGCCTCGGTTTACAGCCAGCTGGGGAGTGTCACCTGGAGGTAGCTCTATGAACACCTCCATCCTCCCTGTGTCTGTGTGGAGGCCATCGGTGAGGGAGAACCAGAACTCATCTGCTGCCACACCAGGACTGCCAGGCACATACCCTACCAGCCCAGCCAGGACATCCTTATAGGTGAAGGAGGAGCCCTGGGCCAAAGTCCTCCCATTCTCCAGAGGCTCAGAAGCAGTTTGCCTCAAGAGCAGATGACCTGAAGAAGTGAAGAAAAACAAACCAACAAAAAATGGTACAATAAATATAGCGCCAAAACATGGTCTGAATTTGTCAACTAATGTGAACCTGTGCAGAATGCCAAGGGCTTCAGAGGCTCGTCATGACATACATACATATGTGACCAACAAGTTAGCATTTTATATATAAGCACAGGGTGCTTTTCTATAGCTTCATCTACAAATAAAGAAGTCCTACTTTTCATGGCTAAAAATCTGTTAAGGAGACAAAGATGGATGTGGCTATACAGCAGCTTAGAAAGCAAATCTCCCTCCATGAATTCAAACTCACTTCATTATCTAAAAATGAAAAGAACACTTTATACTCGCTGCCTTCCTCTTAGGGCATCTGGGATGGGAGGGTGGACTATGTCTTAAATTCCTCTTATATTCTGAAAGACACTAAACATCACTGGGTTGAAACACAGTTTTCTATGTTCAAGGTCATGTGGGCCACATAGGACAGTTAAAGTGTGCTAATAAATAAATTGCAAGTGCGGAGGGTGAGTAAGGAAGGCATTTGCATATAGGGAGGTGTGATGTACTCCTAGAAGTACATAATTATGGAAATAACTGGCAAATCAATAAAATTTGAGAAAAGGAAAAATAAGTACAAGTAAATACAATGACCAGTAGTTCCTCTATTAACCTCTGTCAAAGCAACAGTTTCATCCTTAAAAGACCAAGGAGTAATTACAATGGACTGAGATGCCACCTGGGAGATGAAAGTTCCAGAACTTTAATACCAGGGAGATAGCATTTAGAAAAGAAGTAGGTAGATTGCCATAGTGGTTTTTTTGTTTTGTTTTGTTTGTTTGTTTTAACCTCTGGTTTAATCAGAAAAGTACTTTGCAAAATGAGCAAGTTCATAAAGATATCTAGCAAACATTTAACCTGAGGTGAATATATTTTGCAATTAATAACAAGGCTGCTATACTCTTACTTGTGTGGGATGGCCCAGGATTATCAAGCAATAAGGCCTATTCCGAGAAAAGGATATGCAACTCTGAAACTTGTTTTGCCTGAGGTTACATAGGAAAACAAGAAAACAGCTGAAATTGAATTTTAGACACCAATTACCTAGAATTCAGACTTCGAGAGCAACCAGTGTCTACTGTGACCCCAAAGAATATTAGCTAGCTGTGAATTTGATTATACTTTGAGCAAAGGATGTACTGTATGCAGGCAAGGCAGAGGAATAATCAACTGAAATCTATGTGTTTATTCTAATAAGCATCGGCCACCTCAATTAAGAAGCTTTCCATAGCAGTTGTGCCCTACCGTGGGAAGGTTTTTTGGTCAATACAAAAATCAGCTCATTATCTGGAGTATCCAGGTCTTGCAGGCTCAAAGAAGAATTGCTTATCATTACTCCTGAGCTTAGCTGCACTCTGAGGGGCTTCAAGGTCATCCTGGGAGGCTCATCGTTCTTCCTCTGTTTAAAACAAAAATAATAGATCACACACAGATATTGGGTTGAGAAGAAAGAAAATGTACATTATTCAGAGAAAGTAACATGGCCACATCATTGAAATAGCATTTAATAAGTCATCATTTTTCATTCCTAATCAAAACCATTACTCTGAAATGAGATCAAGTCACACAAACAAAACGTCTCCTTCAAAAGCAGCAGACAAGCATTCTACAGCGATCTCAGATATATTCCAGTAGTATAATGGTCATATTTCTCTGAGTAAAAATATGGACATGCTGTTAGACAAACACAAATATATTCTGGGAATAAAAGAACATGTTATTTGAAATCCAACCTGTCTTAGAATACTATACAGACACTTAAAGAAGGTAACCTATCTCCTAAGTGTGAGTTTCTAAGTCTGTGCTCCAGCCCCCTCCATCCCTGCCCCTGAAGGATGCTGAGGACACCATGCATGGTATTTGCCTGAGACAGAGGGTATTTCATTCGGAATTGTATCTTTTCTCTCATTTTGTCCTTGGGGTAGTAGAGAAGACCTATGTACTTGCACAAATGAGAATAAATAGAGCATCAAGGAACGTGTCCTATGATGTGATTTTTTAAAATTTATTTATATATATCTTATATCACCATTCATTTTGGTACAATGTTTGATTCTCCTCTCAGGTGCAATCCCCATAAAATTCCCACCACCAAGTCACCGGTGAACCAACACAATAGTCTCTTGTGCTCTTCCCATCCCTGTTTTGATTCTTCTCTTCCCCGTCCCCTGCTAAATGTCTCTGATTTATAGTTTGCCACCTAGTTTTGTCTTTTTTCCCCCCTGATCCCTTGTTTGGTTGCCTTATATACCTCCTATAAGTGACACTATCCAATATTTGTATTTTTCTTTCTGACTTATTTCACTGAGCATGATCCCTTCCAATTCCATCCACGTTGCTGCAAATGGCATGAGTTTATATTTTTTGATTGCTGAATACTAGTCCATTGTGTGTATATATATCACATATGATGTTACCTTTTAATGAATAAATGTTTTAAAAATATAAGCCAGGGGGCCTCCCTGGTGGCGCAAGGGGTTAAGTCTCAGCACTATGAAGCTATGGGCAGCCACTGCAGCATGAGTGCAATCCCCGGCCAGGGTGTTAACCCATATGGTGCAACACATCTCTCCTGTCTCGCCCACTGCTCCCCTCAGCAGTGTATTTCAGTCAATCCGCCTGTTCTGCTCCCCACTCTGTCTCTGGTGAATCCTCTCACCCCCTGCACCTCTGGCCTTCACCCCAGTTCTTCTATGGAAAAATAAATAAAAAAATAAAATCTTAAAAAAAACTTGTTATTAAAAAAAAGGCAGAATGCATACAGAACCACTTGTAATTATTTCAAAGAAAAATAGACATGTTAATTTTTGTCTAAATCTGAGACTGTCAAGGTTTTTCTGCTTGATGTTCACAAATTGTTTTCACACAGAAGGAATAAATTTTTCTCTGAAATGGAATTTCAGATTTTCAAGGCAGATCATCCCCAAATGTCAGTCTTAATTCTCTAAGTTTCCTAAGGGTCGGGATTATATTATTTTATTGACCTCTAAAATAGAAGGTCAAATCCAGTCTGAGTTCATATAAAGCTCTCTAATGGTGACATATTGTAGTCAAAGGTCCAATTTTTCAAACTTCCAAAGTCTTTACCTCAATGGTGATATTGATGCTGTGGATTTCGGAACGACTGTTTCCATCACTTACATAAAAACTGAAAATATCATGGGTTGGCTCAATGCTTTCATGAACACTCTGAAAGTAGTAAATGTAGTTTTCCAAAACATCTTGAATAGGGAATGATGCCTCTCGGTCACTGATAGTTCCGGGGCCGAAACGATCACCTGCAGTGACATCACGAGACAACTTTACCACGATTTATCAATTCCTGCTTACTAGGCAGAACTAGAAAACATGACAGCATTATCAGCAAAAGATGAAAATATGTTTGAGGATCGAAGTGAGTAAGTGGAACAAGTACAAGACCATGGATCAGAAGACTTAGGGATTGAATCCCAGTTTCCCCACCATTTTTCACCTATGAATTGATACACCTGCCCTGCTGTTTCCATTGAGAATCAAATGAGGTAATAGGTATCAAAGCACCCAGAATGTTATTATTTTGTATCGCACAGAATCAGTAGTTATTTTGTCAGAAACAATTCTTGTTAAGTCAAGTCTTAAGGCAGGATATGATACAAAAGCAAAGGTTCTACTTTGAGCATCAGTCAACTTTATAACCATATCCTGTGGGCCTCCCCTGGTGGTGGTTGAGCGCTGGGCAGCCTCTGCAGTGCCAGTTCGTTCCCCCAATGATGGCGAGGGTCCCACAAAAACAAACAAACAAACAAACAAACAAACAAACAAACAAAAAAACCATATCCTGTAAGAAAACCCTTTTCTTCTACATAAATAAAGGTTTATAAATATATACCTTTTTATCTAAGAAACTTATATCTCCTTAAACATGTTTTCATTTTCCATCCCAGTTCCTTAAGAACACTTCTGCATGGGTCAGATGGAACACCTGGGCTCCTGGGATGCAGGTGCCATTCAGGTACTGAGATGTTCAGGTACCATTTATAGTTCCATAGAAAGTGCTAGCCCTGGCTGACACAAACACATCTCATCCAACCCCACACATTGGAAAAGGCAAGGCGAAGAGTAAGCAACATCTAAATGATGGATAAATGATGAACAACTTGTCTCTTACTTTGTTCTAATCTGAGTCCCACTGATTGATTTTAAATTGCTACCACACTATTCTTCTAAAGAAAGAAAAGAGAAACACCTGTGCCTTCAAAAATACCCTGAATATATATCAATAAAACTGAAGAGAGAGGATCTAAAAGCAACAGGTCTTTCTCTTCCATGGTCCTTTGCAAAGATCAGGCCATAAGTTACAAGGCCATTCATTTCCTGAATTGTAGGTAGTATTGTTTTTTCTGATCTTCCAACAGAAAGATTAAGAGTAAAATATTTATTTATAATTTGTTTGAAATAAAAACTCAAGTATTTTCTCTTCAATATCGTGCATTTCTTAAATTTTACCCCTCAGGTTTCATTCCTCTTGACACCAGAAACAGAGTGATCTAAGTTACTAGAGTGATCTAAATTCCCAGATAATTCCCAGAGTATATAGTTGAGGTTTCCAAAAGGAATTGCCGTAATCCCTTCTAATTTTTATTTTTCTCTTTCCATTGATCACAATAAATATAAGAAATATGACTTCTTTATTTTAGTTAGAAATAGCCGAAGTACATGATGCTTAAAATTATACTCACATATAATAATGCCTTCTTTCCTGCCATTTGAAAATAAACTATTCAACAAATCAGTCACCAATCCTTCCCAATTTTAAAACCGCACCTTCTATTTTTCCATTCTTATTAATATGATTTTTTTGCCTTCTTAAACAGTATATGCTATAGAAAAATTAAATAGTTTTTGGTGCTTACAGACCATCATTCAGAGCATCTATTACTGCATTGGGCTGGAACCCAGTCGTGCCTTAGAGGTGGGTCCTGACTTGTTTGTGCTGTCACATTTCATACCTAACAATATAATTTATTCTGTTTCTTCCCTTATAGCTGGTAAGAAGTTAAAACTTTAACAATTTTTAGAAAGCTGTTCTCTGATCTCCTGGATTCTGAATCTAGGTAGCTAGTTTCATATATACAAAATAAACTTGGTTCAGAACAGAGACTAAAGAGCTTCTACCCTGGAGCAAAAGGTGAGATCCTTACTTGATGTGCTTTTTTTAATCTCACAATTATCTGTGCCTGTTGAATGTATTTTTCTTATTTCTAGTTCATAGGAATGCTGTAGAGGACTGGTTTTCCAGATGTGATCCTTGGACTGACAGAAATGGCCAGTGTCAAATGCAAATGCAGAAGTCTCCCCAACTTCCTCAAGCAGGAACTCTGGGGTGCTGCCTAGGGAAGTGTTTTCACAAGCTTGGAGGTTAATTTTATGCATATGTACAGTCTGAGAACCACTTTTTAGAGAGACTGAGGTTTGTCAGAAAATTTGACTTCTGGACCAGGGAAATAGGCGCCTAGATGCATTCTCGGTTAACATAGCCCCATGTTAGGAAGGCTTACTAAGACCACATGGAGAGTAGAGAAGGCCATGCGAAAGATCTCCTTATTTCCTACTTTTGCCCTTGCTCCTCTCTCTCTGCCCAGAAACTCCCACCAACCCTTCAAGTTCCAACTCAAATGTCACTTCCTCAGACTTCCCCCTTTCCTGGGCAAAAGTGTTTTGTCCTATGTACTTTCCCTGTCTTGGAATTTTACTTATTGTAATTTATCAGTCTTGATATCTGTCTTCCATTCCAAGCAGGGGAAGTGTCATATTCGTCTTTACATCCAATGTGTCCAACATAAACATTTGTTGAGATAAATCGAATTTAGCAATCAACGCATCTCAGCGTTAACACCGAGGAAGACCCACAAGACGAGGAAAAGACAATTTTTGACAAGGAATCATGACCACTGCTAAATGAGTTTCCCATAATGGGGCCCAAATCCCAGGCACCATGCTGCCACAGACACTGTCAGTCACTGGCCTCTCAGTGGGAGGTGGGAGCTGCATGCCAATTAGAACAAACTTTGGCACTCAGAAATCTCACTGCAGAGGCAGCAGCACAGCAGCCTGCCAGGAACTGTCTCAACTGCCAGTCACCGTGGTCTCAGGGGGCCTGTGGACGATACACACCTTCTCGCTTCTCTTTCTCTGTGATAACCACCAAGGGCAGCGGGTCCAGGCAGATGGTGGAGGGGGAGGGATGTCGAAGAGAGGGCCACAGACAGACAAGCATGCATTTCAATTCATGTCATATCCTGAGAAGGAGCTGAGACATAAGCCGTGCTACAGCTAAACTGCAGCTGCCCCCCAGTGAAAGGACGAGCATTCTTATTGCCTTGACACTCAATCCTGAGGGCAATCCACAGCTCCTCCTGCCCTGGCAGGCACTCCAAATCCCCTTACCTTGTCCTATTTTTTTCCACAGCAATAACTTCCCTCCTAACAGCTTACATAAGTTTCTCATTAATTAGGTTTCTTACCTGTCTCTCCCAATCAGGCTCAAAAGCACCATGTAGGTAGGGGGTTCTGTTGGTTCTGTTTACTGATAAGGTCCTAGTACTTAAAAAATTGTTGAGTATGCAGAAAATGCTTAGTAAATTTTAGTTCAGTGAATGTTACTTTCCCTCCTGCCATTGCTTTGAAATGCTTCCACTCTTTGAGAGTTTTCCATCTCCAGATTGAATTCATGGCAGTTCCCTCCCTCCCCTCTCTGGAGCTACATTCCTGTCTGGAATAATTCTCTAGCAAAGCTGCTATGGGTACCTGTGCCTGTGTTCTCGATGCAGCCGTATTTGGGCAGAGCACTGAGTTTAATGACAGCATCTTCCTGGAGGTTGTCATGATCATCAGCAGCAAAGAAATGGTGAAATGAGAGAGGGGCTCTCCCTCCCTCATCAACCTGAGAAAGAAAAGAATGGAGAGAGTCCTTGGGCGGTTGCACATAACAGCAGTAAAAAGAACTGAATTGGAAAGTGCCGCCTGGGTGACCTTCCCGCACCAATTCTACTTCTTGAAGGAGGCAGATCCTCTCCAGATGGAATGAGGAATGTGCAAGCTGCTGAAACCAAGCAATCTTTCAGCACCTCTCAGAGCTACACTCAGACTCGGTAACTCCCTTCAAAGTTGTGCCTCCTTCAATGATGGATCAGGTTATAAAGCAGCTCTGCCCCATTCTAATCATCCTCCTTGGCTCAGCTGCTGACAGGATGGCTGCCTTCCTTCGGAATCAACATTCAGAAGCCTGCAGCTAGAGACTGATCCATCCAGTTCTCCCTTGGATACTGTCAGAGCTGCCCTGTCCTACAGTGTTCCATTTGACGCCCTTTGAGTACATATTTATAGGTGTGCAGGAAGAAAGGGCTCACGATACCTGAAAGCTACTGCTTATCTTAATGTCAAGTAAGAAAATAAATCAGTATAAGTGAAAGGCAGTTACTCCAACCAACTATCCCCTTGAGGGCCCTGTTTTGTGTGCTAACTCTGCAACCTGAGCTTGGTGTTTCTTGCTTGCCTGCTGGGTGTGACCAAACAATTGCACTCTGAACAGTTCTTGCTAAAAGTAGGAAGATCTATAACACAAGTTACAATGAAGGAGGTTTTCTTGCTATTGGGAATGAAGGAGGTCTAAGTAGCTTCCCCAAGAAGTGGAAATGAAAATATTAACATTATTTAAAAACACACCAGTTTTAAGAATTTTCAATCACTTAATAAACCAGATACTGAGTTTTCAGCAATATGTTGTATATACAGGGTAGGACGAGGAAAGTCAATTAACTTTTAAAGAATCCCCACCACATCCCAGCACTGCACTGGAGAGGTGAGGGTTATGCTATTTTATTAATTATCAGATACACAATACCTATGTAACAGGTATAGTCTTATTTTAAGGTTGAGGACACTGAGGCTAAGAGAGATTGCCTAGGGCCTCCCTGGTGGCACAGCGGTTGAGCGCTGGGTTGCGAAGCTGCCCGCAGCCTCTGCAGCGCCGGTTCGATCCCCGGCTGCTCCCCGGCCACCAAAGGAGGGTCCCACATGGCGCGCAGACCTCTCCTGCCGCCCGCTGCTCCCCTCAGCAGTGTACTTCGGTCCTTCTGCCTGCTCTGCTCCCTGCTCTGGCTCTGGTGAATTCTCTCACCCTCCCATGCTTCTTACTGTACCCAGTGCTTGTATAAATAAATAAATAAATCTTTAAAAAAAAGAAAGAAAGAAAGAAAGAAAGATTGCCTAAGTGACCCGAGATCATTCAGGCAGTAAGGGCAGAGTTAGCACTTGAACTTGGATCTGGGCAACTGCAGTGATCAGGATTCATGATGTACCCCCACCCTCCTTGTTCCATTGAACTGTCAATATTTAGAAGTTGCAATCAATTTAATGTAAGGATTCAGTCGGGGATACCATCCATTTCTTCATGTTTTAGTTGCTACAATATTAGATTATAAACTCTACAAAAATATATATTCCATTTCTAATTTACTCCCAGTACTATATACATCTAGCATGTATACAAAGTACACATTTAATTTTTAAGTCTAGCAACATATATAACATGGGCAAACTCACTAATGATATGATTTCTCTCCTGCATATAGTTATTGATACAATTTTTGCAGGATTCCTGGTTAAAAACCATGATACTATAGCCTAGATATTTTGGCAGAAGAACTTGGCAGTCAATTTAGATAGAAACCCTTTACTTATATGGTCATAGATTGCAACTCTCTCACCAGGCACTGTTGATTGATCTGAGAACTGTTTACCGTGATAAGGTCAGCAAAAGCAATAACTGGAGGTGGATTCTTGGCTGGAGTGATCATGATGGTGAACATCTGATTGTCCAGATGGTTATGGTCCATGTCAGAGACAGAAAACTGGAAGTTATCAGTAACCAGCGGACCTTCGGTCTCAAACGCAGCTGAGTACCTGTGGAAGCCAAAAGAAGAATCAAATGAATGAGATTTCACAGACAAGCCAGGAAGATGGCAATACCTTTGTTTTAAAAGGGGGCCAAAAACAATATGTTCTTTCTAAGGAACTACTGGTTAGTTGCTTAGATATTTTAATATGATTTTTAAAGTCCTGTCAATAATACAAAGTGGTTACATACCGAATTTTCTTCTTGTTGATATCTTCCATCGTAAAATTGGAAGTTTCTGAGAATTCTTCCACCTCAGATCCTGTAGCTCTTAAGAGAGTACCATACATGGGCAGAGAACTTAACTGAATCCATATCTCTGGGTCGGGGGAAGAATCATCCTAATCAGGAAAGTATGAGGCAAGATATGAATGCACATGTGCAAAAATAAGTACTTGTAGTAATTAAACATCTAGGGGGCATCTTTTCCTGCTTTTTGAAGTCTCTTTCCCTTTGTGATAATGGAACACCCTTTCAAACTGCATGAAAATCCCTGTACTTATTCCTTCTAAAAGGTCTTTTTGATAATGTCTTCTTTCAAGAGCAGCTCAAGATAAGAGTGGGAAAGTGTACTTTAGGTACGTGGCATAAAACAAAGAGATGCCCAAGCATCATGAAACAGGCCACAAAGGTTTTGTTTTGACTACAAGCATCTAGTGAAGAAAACATGATCAGCTATAGGAGTCATCTTTCTATGAACACAAATGTAGATTTCTTGTAGAATTTCTAAGGATGGTTTGCTCTTTAGAATCAGATGTAATTTCATTCTAACACAAAATACAATGATAACTGTATGAAATTAAAAAATGGAAGGTTTTTTTGTTTGTTTAGTGACTCACTTCAAATGATATTCAACATGATAACATTTCAGTTTAAGAGAAGAATTTAGGAAACCTTACATTGGGTGCTCAATACTCAGTATGCCCAGTTTTAGCAAAGACCACTTCCCATTCCTTCTACATTATTTCTTGAAAAATATGGTTGGCTTTCTGGGAGCCCTCTCCCACTGAGTCACATGATCATGAGGGTAAACAACTCATCTCTACAGACTGTGTTTCTGGAAAGACAATAATTGAATGTCTTAATGAGCCAGTTCCTTTTTCTCGAAGGGTATTTTTTGAAATACATAGGAGATAGGTGACATCATGTTGGGGAGTTTCCCTGAGACATTCACCTTTTTAGTGTAGTTGGGGGTACTTTATACTTTATCACAGCAACAATGGAAAAAAATGTTGTGATGTAAAAATTAGATTTGCACTTTCAAATGCAAATAATCACAGCTTGCTGTACAGATAGGTAGAGGATCAGGAATGTGAGCACCATTAGCCTGGTGGCCTGCGGACAGCAGGTTTTAATTGGTTAACATTTCTATCCCCAGGGCACTTTTTAAGTTGGTCCTTCTGCGTTTCAATGCAAGATCACAGGATTTTCCATATTTCCTCATGTCATTTAACTAGAAAGGAAAGCAACTCAAACTCACAGAAGCTGAAAAACTTCAGAAAATTTCCCCTAAAATATACTTTAAAGTTTTCTCTATTTTTTTCCAGATGGGTTAGCAAATGCAATATGAAAAGACTGCAGAAAGATTTCTTTCTACTCATCTACTACTCATCTACTCTGTGAGAGAATCCAAAAAGACAGCTCTTCTAAGATGGTGATATTCAAGGGTAGAGTTCCTGGTTTGGGGTTAGAATAGACAGCTTGTAAATTCCACACTGCCACTGAAATTTGCCAATGAAATGCTATTTCAAGTCAGGCATATCTTATTATAATGGTTTAAGTTTCAAATGACAGCTGGGTTTCAAAAAGGGTGAAAACAACTTTTTTTTCCCCCTGAAAATTCCCTGACATAATTGAAAGAAAATTCCTATTTGGGATATCCAAGATATTGTGGGTGCACAAAAAACCTAAGAATAGAAACCTTGTTCTCATGTAACTTTATTCCTCAAAGACCTCCTTATCCCTTTTGAATTAATTCATATTCTATTTATAATTTATATATCTTGGACCCACTGCCCAACAAGAGTACTAGAGCTTTGCTAATTCACGTTTACCTATGTGCTCCTTTTGTTTATTACTGGACCTTACTCTGGAACTTGTTTCTCAGGTCCTTGAAACTCTTGACAAAGTTTATATTTTAATACAAAATATACACACACACACACACATATATATAACACATATATACACACATTTATACAAGTGTGTGTGTGTATGCAAAAGTTCTTTTTCAAAAGTTATGAAAAGGGAGTTAGATTCTACTCTTCTGGGATTTATTTACTTATTTTTTTTTTTTTTACTCATTAGTAGACTACTAAGATGCATCTATATTGTGTGTAGCTATAGGTCATTTGTTTTTAATGTTCTGTAATATTTCATAAGGTATGTCACAAATTAGTCTATTAGTCTATTAGTATGTCTATTAGTCTGTTGATGGGCTTTTGACTCATTTCAATATTTTTGCTATTACAAATAGTAAGGACAAAATAGTATGTTAATATTCTCGGGCATATCCTTTGGTGTATATATGAAAATTCCTCTTAGGTTGGAATCTAGGAGGGGAAAGATTAAGACATATGAATAGGGCCTCCCTGATGGCACAAGGGTTAAATCTCAGAACTATGAAGCTATCTGCAGCCACTGCAGCACTTGTTTGATACCTGGCCAGGCCAGGGAGCTGACCTGGGAGCTGACCCACATGGTACAGCAGACCTCTCCTGTCTTATCTGCTGCTCCCCTCAGCAGTGTATTTCAGTAGATCTGCCTGCTCTGCTTCTCACTCTGTATCTCGTGAATCCCCTCAGCCCCCACTTCTGGCCTGTACCCCAGTTCTTACATGCATAAATAAATCTTTTTTTAAAAAGACGTATGAATAGTCATCCTCATAAAACAATATCAATTCTTTCCCAAAGTGGTTGTTATAGTTTAAATTTCCAGTAGCAAAGAACCTTCTGTAGATCCATTTCCTCTCCAACACTTGATGTTTTTAGATAATAATTCTGCCAAGTGAAAATAGTATACAGTCCCCAATTTATGATGGTTTGACTTACTATTTTCTGACTTTATAATGGTGCAAAAATGATATGCACTCAGTAGAAACTGTGCTTACAATTTTGATCTTTTCCTGGCTAATGATATGCAGTACCATACTCTGTCATGATGGTAGGTGTTGACAGTGAACCACAGCCCCCAGTCAGTCACGTAAAGGACCAAGTCTCTAGAGACTTTTCTACTTTCAGTACATTACTCAACAAATTACACACAATATTCAATACCTTATTATAAAGTAAGCTTGGTGTTAAAATGATTTTGTCCATTTTCAGGCTAATTAAATATTCTGAGCACATTTAAGGTGGGCTAGGCTAAGTTATGATGTTTGACAGGTTATAAGTATTAAAAGCATTTTGGACTTAACAGTATTTTCAATTTATAATTTCAGTTTATCCCAACCCAACTGTAAGTTGAGGAAGACCTGTATAGTCTTAGTTTGCTTTCCCTGATTACTAAAAAGGTGAATTTTTTTCCTCATATAAAGTGCTCTCAAATAAATTTGATTTTCTCAAATTTATTGCTGTATGGATTCCTTTTTAGAAGTTCCTGCAAATGATTCTTACTCATTTTTCAGTAGGATTACTTTTTTCTTCTTGATCTGTGGAGTTCTTTATGTTTTTGTTTATTATTTTTGCTTATGTATGTTGCAAATATGTTTTTCCAATTTCATCTTCTCTGTATTTATGTTGTGTTTTGGAAGAGATAATTTTAATTTTCATAGAATCGAATTTATGGATATTTTATCATTAGCATTTTTTGCTTCTGTTAAAGAAATTCTTCCCATTCCCAATATTATAGAAATATTCACCAATATCCTACAGAGAATTACAAATTTTTTACTTATGACTTATGAAGTACAGTACTTCATTTGTCTGAAGAAAATATCTGTGAAAGTTATGGGGTAGTGACGTAAATTCTTTTCTAATAATATTTTTTTGCAAATGCATGCTTTAAATAGTTCCTTCTGTTTTTACTGATCTGACTTGTTATGTCTATTTTATATTACAGTTCCATGTATGGGTCTGCTTCTGGACTCTCTAGTATGTTTCTGTGCTATACTATTTTAATTAGAGTAGGTTTATTAAAGAAAAAAATCCTGATATCTGATAGCCCTGCCCAACTATCATTCTTTTTTAGAATTTGGTCCTTTGTTCTTCATTATATATCATACAATCAGCTTATCAAACCCCATAAAATGTCCATTGGGCTTTTGATTGCAACTTAACTAAGTAGAAAGATCACTTTGAGGGAGAACTGATATTTTTTAAACAAGAAATTTTTCTATTCATGAATATGTCATACCTTGTCAGTTATTGTCTTCTTTTAAAAAATAATATTTATTTTATTTATTTATGCATACAAGAGCTGGGGTACAGGCCAGAGGTGCCTGGCGTGAGAGGAATCACCAGAGACAGAGTAGGGAACAGAACAGGGGGATCTACTGAAATACACTTCTGAGGGGAGTAGCGGGCAAGACAGGAGAGGTCTGCTGCACCATGTGGGTAGCTTCCTGGCTGGGGATCAAACTCATGCAGCAGTGGCTGATGATAGCTTAATGGTGCTGAGACTTTAATCCCTGTACCACCAAGGAGGCTCCCCACTTATTGCCTTCTTTTAAAAAGTCTCTCAATTAAGTACTATAATTTTCCCTACTGAAGTATTGCCTAATTTTTATTACATTTAGTTCAAATGGACATGGTTTTTGTAATGCTGTTATAACTGGTATCATTTTCATAATTAAACTTACTGGCTATTTTTGATTATGTAGAGTAATGCTATTGTTTGTTGATCATCTATCTGTCTCCTTGTTAATTTTCCTTTTATGGCCAATAATTAGTCAAGCGATACGCTCAGATTTTCTTAAGATTCAGTCATAACATCAAATTTCCCTATAAGTTACACAAGTTTTGTTACATTTATTCTTTAATATTTTGAATTGATAAATTTTTGGCTGATACATAGAACATTATCAGCTTCTTGAGATAAATCTCTTACCATCCTTACCAAATTACAGAGAAGAAAAATATAAGATGAACTGAGTTGGGGTAATTTGCAAAAAGTTACTACGTTGGTAAGTGAGTGGTGAGCTTGGATTAAAATCCATCCATTCCAGGGCCTCCCCCAGGGTGCAGTGGGTTGAGCACAGCGCTGTGAAGCTATCCGCAGCCTCTGCAGTGCAGGTTCAATTCCTGGCCGGCCAGGGAGATACCCACATGGCGCAGCAGACCTCTCCTGTCTTGCCCCCTGCTCCCTCAGCAGTGCATTTCAGTAGATCTGCCTGTTCTGCTTCCTGCTCTGTCTCTGATGAATTCTCTCACCCTCCCGCAACTCTGGCCTGTACCCCATTCTTATATAAATAAATAAATCTTAAAAAAAAACCCCATCCATTCCCACCAAAAAACCCATACCATCCTTACCCTGCTTGTTTACTGGCAGTGGATGGCAAAGTGCACCTAGAAAACTATCATTAAGAAGTACATTTCATAGACTCCCATTTTTGCCCTTTGTTTCTCCCAACATGATGTCACTTCTGTGTGGTTAATGAAACTCTAATGGAGAATAGGCTCACTAGTTCCTATCCCTTTATACTCTGCTTCATTTCAGATGACTTTTTCAACTTTTCTGGATGTTCACTGCAAACTCACTAAGTGTGCAAGTCTGAAAAATTTTCTGCATGAAATTAAGTACAAATTCGTTTCTACAATTCTCAGAGAAAGTCAGTATATAACATAGCTAAGTCTTTAAATATGCTATGTATTTAAAAGGCAAGAATAGTTCTTTTGGAGTCTTTCTGCTCTAGTGAGTAAATTCACATTCAATCAATTTTTGAAAATACCTGTTCAGTTGCCAATGGGCTTGCATTTTGATATGCAGCTTATAATATGCAGTTAATGGGCAGGAACTGCTCCTGGAGTGCTATTTTGGCCTGTCAAACATTTTTCAAGCCTTGGTGATCTATTGATTAAATCTGTATTCATACATTTTTATGAATTCATGAGTTTCATAAGATTCAAAAGACCATAACCCATGGTAAAAATCACCTATCAATTAATAAAACAAAATCAGAGCTGTTCTGAAGCTATACTAGACCCATGAGTAGAATCAGGATAGAATAGAGTTCCCCATAATTTAAGAAAAGACAATTTGAGGGAAAAAATCTGTGCTAAAGCAATTGAAGCGATTGTTCCCAGACCAATGCTTTATCTTACATGCTACTATTCAGAACTAGATTTTATAGCCAGATTCTTTTGCCCAGAAAAGCACTACTTAAAACCACATAGCATTTTTTAAAAAGGACAGATCATTGGCTGGAATTTTAAGATTAGTAAAGGAAAAATGTGATTTCCATTCAAATAATCATCCTTGTTTTAAAACATTTGTTAAAACTATTCATGATTACATTTTGAGAGTTCAAAATCTGTTTAAAACATAAATAACTGAAAAATAAAATTAATTATCTTCATTATCCTGAAAAACAGAATCAAAGGAAGATGAGTTTAATTAACCAGCACAATTTAACAAGCTAGGACCAGATGGGAAAAACAACAACAAACAAACCACCCAGAATCCTTGATTCTACCTTTGCTCCCCTAAGCCACTGCTTCTCTTGGAGCCTAAGAAATCTGGCAGGGAGGTCCTGCTGAAGCAGGTTGCCAGCATTCTGTCTAGAGCTGGACTTGAGACAAAAGCTGTGAAAAAGTGGGCTTTCTCTCAGTGGGCCATAAAATACCATTATCTATTAGTCATTGATCAGGTAAGTTCTTCTACAATGCTCTTTCCCTAAAATTCCCATTCAAAATATAATGGATGGGCTTAAAAAATGGGGAGTTGTGTTTTTCTGAAATGGGCGTGGCATCTCATTGACAACCACTTGTCCCTTTACAAGTTCATCACATTTTATTAAAGTTTTGTTCATTGACTGGTCTTTTCTTGAGATACTGGGAGGAACCAGAACAGAGAAATGTAAGTACTCCTAAGAGTAGAACTATTAACAAGTTGAGAGAAAAAGTTCTTTACGTGGTCATGTACCTGACACCTCAAATATTCAGTCATGACACTGACATTGTTTTCTAGTTAGCCCAGTCAGAGGGTGCTGTGGGGAACAAGAGGTGAGCGTAAGGACTTACAATGTAAGCCAGGTGTGACCTCGTGATTACAGCAGTGCTTTTACTGGCGACAGAAATGCTCAGAGAGGCGCCCCCAGCCAGCCGAGGTCCTGGGCTCTCTGTCAGCAACACTGTTACTCCCACTTCCACCGTAGTCACTGAAAAGCCATCTGTGACAGAGATCTCCATGCTGTCTTCTTGGGCAGAGGAGCCATCGTGTAGATACTGGAGAACATTTTTCTCAATATCTGCATATGTGAAAGTGTCACCTTTCACAATAACACAAATTGCAAAACCAAATTACTTCTGGGAATAATGCTTTTCCTTTATGTAACATCTTTGTTCTCAGGATTTCAAAGTACTTATAGGATCATAAACTCATGAAGTTTGAAGCTAATTAGTCTGACCATCCACCCAATATAAGAGTCCCTTTACAACATCCTTAAAAAAGGGTAGTTCTGCTAATCTTTTAATAATTCTCAAGAGGGGAGGCTCATTGTTTTACAAGGTAACTCATTTTGTTGGAAATAATTCTAATTATTTTTAAAGTTAAATCATATTGACCCCAAATCTGCCCTGTCTAAAATCCACTTATCACCCAGTTCTAGAGAAAGAAAGAAGTCTCTATTCTTTACAGCAATCATTTTGGATAACATGGATAATGAAAGTTTTTTTGAAAAAAGTGAAGAAAATAAACTATGTTAGATGAGCCTCTACAGAGTTTTAATTGGGAGTATGAGGATTTTTTTTAATTAAAAAATATAAAAACTGAAATATATACTTAAAGTTAGAAAGCCAAACTCTATGAGTTTAGAGTACTAATTCACGGTCGATTTGACAAATGTGTGAAATAGTTTCAAGGTCAGACAAGTTTGGGGAAGTGAGAATTTAAATGAAAAACTTTAAACTGAAGGAGTTAGAATTTTAGAATCTCTAATATATAATATTAATGTTTGTTTAGTAATGGAATACTTTTTATGAGAAATTCTTCTCAGTGCCATGTTCCCAATAATTTCACAGGGCACAACTGAAGATTTTTCTTCTCAGATCACATATTCAACTCTATTTCTTGACAGATCTTTGATTCTAATAATTGATGTTATATAACTCGAGATTTAAATATTTATTTTCTGTATTTATCTTCTAAGCTTTCTCTTTCCACACTGTTTTATTATGATTTATAGGTACTATAGGTATTACACCTTAAAAAGTAATAAAAGCAATATTTTACAAATATTTTTATGTCTTATGTATTAATTACAAAAATATAGAGTAGTATAAAGTTAAGAAATCTGGGCTATGATTTCTATACTCCAATATTAGTTTCTTTATGAAGCTAGAGAGGTATTTAATGACTTATTTTTTCAGTAATTTAAAAAAAATTCTGCCTTTGTGATTCCCAAGTGCTTACTGCTTGTTAGTACAAATTTGGTCTACCTTCATGGGGAAAGTTTTCTCCCCTCCCCTTGCAGGAATATTCAGAAGAATCATTATCACATGTGTTAAGGTTTTGAGAAAGTAAACATTGTAGGAATAAGCAAATTCCCAAGGTGATGACTTTGAAAAAGATAACATTCACTTTGATATACAAGGGCAGACTGTTAAAAAATTAGATTTACTTGTATTGTTTGTGCTTTTCTGTACTTTCAAATCAATCAAAGCATATTATTCTTTATAAGTGAAGAAAAGGCAATAAATAATATTTTGGAAATTGGGTCATATTACTACACCGTTTCATGGCATATATGCTACTTAAATTGTTGCTTTTTTAATTTTATTTTTTTTTTAAAGATTTATTTATTTATACAAGCACTGGGTATAGTCAGAAGCGCGGGAGGGTGAGAGAATTCACCAGAGCCAGAGTGGGGAACAGAACAGGCAGACAGATGAAATACACTGCTGAGGGGAGCAGCGGGCAGCAGGAGAGATCTGCACGCCATGTGGGACCCTCCCCGGTGGCCGGGGATCAAACCGGCGCTGCAGAGGCTGTGGGCAGATTTGCAGCCCAGCACTCAACTGCTGCGCCACCAGGGGAGGCCCTGTGTTGCTTTTTTATGGATAAAGATAACACATCATTCACACGATCAGAGTTGTAGTGCTAAAAATATAGTGAAAATTCACATACCAAGGTAAGTAAGACAATTTCATCTCCATAAACTAATCACATTTACTCTAAGCTCCAGAAATCAACCCATTTCACCTACAACTTGAGGAAAACAGTTTCACTGATTTGGGGCATGAGTACTAGGCCAGAAAAAGAATGAACTCAATATGAAAATTTTTTCCTTCCTAAGCATCTCCTCATAGTTTGTCCCACAAAGGTACTTCTTATCTGAGACACATAAAACACTGGCTATGGAACAAAAAGTCCTCCAAGCAGAGTAAACAGCTACCTGCAGCCAGGGGTCCTTGAAATTGGCCTGAGTACTTCAGCAGCACACCATGCTGTGGAGGTTTGCGAAGCTCAAAGAAGAGTTCTTCAGGGGGTGTGTCAGTATCTCTCACTATCAACTGAAGTCCTGCATTCCAGAGAATAAAGCACAGTGAGATGTCCACACAAAAAACTTTAAAGTCTATATACATTAAAGCCACAGATCAGGCTGGAAGCCACATCTGAGTAATCTGATGGTTACAAGAAAGCATTGTTTAATTTCCATTAACTGTAAGAGTGAAAACTGCTAACACAGTCAATTTCCGAATGGCAAGTAGATTTTTCCAAAAATTAATTTATGAGTAGGTAGTTCTGAATTCAGAACACTTTTCTTCTTCCATACAAATGAGGACATATAGGACAGTCCTGACCTGCTAGGGTAGGTTTTCTTCCAGAAAATACTCCCAGAAATAGTTTTTCCTTCTCATTGTTTCTTACCCTCTTTTTCTAAATGCACAGAAAAGCCAAGTTATTTTCAGAATGGCTGCTCTGGCCATCACAGAAGTAAAAAGGAGAGTGGGAATGACTTGTTTATTAGTAGGTATGGTAATTAGTTCTAGGCCAACAACCATATGTGAAAATTAGATAAGTCTGTTAGAGAGCACACATAATAAAAAATCCCTGCATTCATTATTTGATCTTAAAATATCCTTGATAAAAGAATCAATTTCTAAAAAGTAAATATATTAATGGGGTAAATAAAATCATATATGAAATAACTTGGCCAACTCTAACTTTTCACAACTTTTGAAGGTCATTGTGATCTTTCATTTTTCCTGTTACTTTATTTTCTAAATAGAAAACAAGAGAAGTCATTGCAACCCGCTCCCCTCTAGTCTCCTCTCTGCTGTTATTTTATATTTTAGTGATGGCAACAAATCAAACTTCTGGAGACTGGAAAATAAATTCTGTGTTGTATTCCATCACTGAGCATTGGCCTCTGAAGGGTTTATTTCCCTTTCTCTGTGCTGCTTCTATTTGCATGGAAATGGGCAAGAAGAAGGATATAGATGAGAATACATGCAACTTCTGGAAGAGGAGGTCACTGCTTTTTTTGTTATCATCAAAAGGTTTGAGCAGGGACTGTTGCTGAAATATGGTTCCATAACCAAAGCCATGTTTCTTTCAGGATTCCAGTTCTTACCTATAGAAGTGCTGCCTCCTGGGCTGACCTCAAGCAGTGGAGCTGTGACCTGGAACACTGGCAGGTGCTGATCGATGGGAAGTAAGTGAATGGTGAGGACCATTTCTGGACTTGTGTGCTCTCCATCCGAAACTAGAAAGGAAAATACATACACACAAATACACACACACAAATCAACTTGGAGTCTGGTCATCTTCAGGCTGTTTCTATAAATGCATAGCCAAAAGTTTTTTAGATTATCTTAACAATTTGAGGAGATGGTTACAAATGGGAAAAATAAGCAAGCAAGTAAGTTCCATGAGCTATTCTAACAAGGCTTTTTCTGCTAGGTAACAAGAAGGCTAAAGGACCATAACAACAAAGTTCTAAGAAACCAGCTTCAGAAGAAGGTGATACTAACAAATGTTAGTGCAGAGGAAAGTGATATATATTCTTAGATGATGCTGGTAAAGGCTTTTATTTTTGGGATTTTTTTTTTATTTCATTCTTCCAATAAGGAAATATGTTCTTTCTAGAAATCTCTTTTGAATGCATATTTCCTTGCAAAGGAATTTTTAAAAGGACAGAAAATATTCAAATAAATGTCTCTAATAGCGTCTCTTTGTAAGTAGATCCATTTTTTACCTAGTCATTATACATTGTGCGATAAATGGAAGACACTTTTGTGAACAAATCCATGATCTTAAGGTTTTATTTCCCTATATTATCTGATATCTAAGTCATCACCTGAGGAAAATGAAAGCAGAACTATATGGTCATTGAATCTTATTTCTATTTTCCATATCTTAATACAGCTTTTCTCCTCTAACCCTCTAAGCAAGGCTCAGAGGGATACTGGCACCGCCAACATTATCAATGTGTTTATCCATAGTGACTATGGAGGAATTGTGCCAGAGATTATTTTAAATGTTATGATATGCTTGCATTTGGGTTGGTAACAAGAAACTGGTTTCTTTCTTCATTTTCTTCTGCACTTAATAAGTCTGTAGAAATCTGACCTCTACTTAAACAACTGACTCCTAGCAATGATTGTATCAAGGTTTTAGATGTGCTTTTTTCTTGAGAATAGCTCTAAAGGATATGGCCAGATTTTAAAGAGCATCTGTACTTGTCTGGAAGCAATCAGGTCAGGACTATTAGATTTCCTTCTCATCTTAGTTAATTGACCAAATGAGCTGTTTTTCCTCTCTCTATGGGTTAATGTCAGGACCTAGACTTGCTGCTATCTCTTCTGCCCAATTCAAAATCTTCTCTCCTAAGACTAAAGGAGATGGTTTCCTTCCTACAAGATTTCAAAACTTGGTCTTAAAAAATTATGTCACTTTATACTCTTTATGAAAATTAACTCAAAATGGATAACAGAGTTAAGTATAAAATGCAAAACTAGAAGATAACATAGGAGAAAACCTAGATGACCTTAGGCATGGAGATCTCTTTTTATATACAACACCAGAGACCTCATCCATGAAAGAAAGAATTGAAAAGCTAGGCTTCATTAAAATTAAATACTTTAAAAAATATTTATTTATTCATACAAGAGCTGGGAGGGGGAGAGGATTCACCAGACCCAGAGTGGGGAGCAGAACAGGCAGATTGACTGAAATACACTGCTTAGGGGAGCAATGGGTGAGACAGGAGAGGTCTGCTGTGCCATGTGGGTCAGCTCCCTGGATGGGAACCAAACTTGTGCTTCAGTGGCTGCCCATAACTTCATAGTGCTGAGACTTAACCCCTTGCACCACCAGGTAGGGCCCCTAAAATTAAATATTTCTGCTCTGCGAAAATTAATGTGAAAAGAATGAGAGGACAAGAAACAAACTGGGAGAAAATATTTGCAGAAGGAACATTTGATAAAAGATTATTATCCTGAATGTACAAAGAACTCTTAAAACTCAACAATAAGAAAACAACCTGATTTAAAAATAGTTCAAAGATCTTAATACATATGTCAACAAAGAAGATGCCACAGATGACAAACAAATGTATAAAGAGACGTTCCTCATCATATATTTGCTGGGAAGTGAATATTAAAACTATAAATAGGTACCAATAGGCATGAATTAGAATGGCCAAAATCTGGAATACTGACAACACCAAATGCCAGTGAAGATGTGGAACAAAAGGAACTCTCATACACTGCTGGCAGGAATGCAAAATGCTTCAGCCTCATTGAAACACATTATAGCTGTTTCTTACAAAACAAAATACATTCTTACCAGGTAATACAGCAACTGCACTCCTTGATATTCACCTAAAGGAGCTGAAAATTTATGTTCACACAAAAACCTGTACACAGATGTCTATAGTAGCTTTATTCATAATTGTCCAAAACTTGGTAGCAACCAAGATGTCCTTCAGTGGGTGAATGTATAATTTGTGGTACTGCGAGACAATGGAATATAATTCCACACTAAAAAGAAATGAGTTATCAAGCTATGAAAAGACATGGGGGAATTTAAACGCATATTACTAACTAAAATAAGCCAATATGAAAAGTCTGCATACTGTGTGACTTCAACTGCTGACATTCTGGAAAATGCAAAACTATGGAAGACAATAAAAAGATTGCCAAAGATAGGAGGGTGTACAGGAGACGAATAGGCAGAGCACAGAGTGCTTTTAGAACAGTGAAAAATCCTCTGTGTGACATAATGATGGATATATGTCACTATGCACTTATTAAAACCCACAGAATGTACATCAAGAATGAACTCTAAAATAAACTATGGACTTTGGGTGATTAAGGATGTGTCAATGTGTATTTACCCTTGGTTAAAAAATGTACCATTCCAGTGAATGATGTTGATAATGGTAGAGGCTCTGTATACATGGGAGTGTACTTTCTTCTAAATTCTATTGTATACCTAAAAATTGTTCTTTAAAAAGTATTTAAAACAATTTAAAAAAAAATCACTCAATAACAAAATGAACCTAGGGCAGAAACAAAATAAATTAATTTATTATTCCATTTAATGTCAATTTCCTTGACTTTGTAGAATAGATTCAAGGATCATTTAACTTAAAGCCCTGGAAAAGTTAATTGTTAACCCCTTCACCCTTTCAAGCTGAGGTTTAGAAACTAAATTGACACGCTACCATGATACTTGTTTTTCTTAAATGAAACACATACAGATCAGACTAAACTAACCATCCCAGACTCAGATTCAGAAACTCGTATTAAAATCCAGGTTCTCAAGCACAGTTTGTTCAATAAATGCTGCTGGGAAAACTGGACTGCTACATGCAAAAAAATGAAGCTAGACTACTACCTCTCATTATGCACAAAAACCAATTCAAAATGGTTTGACATAAGACCTAAAACAGTAAAATATATAGAAGAAAATATAGGCAAAACACTACATGTCATAGATCTCAGTAACATCTTTAAAGACACATCCCCCAAAGCAAAGAAAGTGAAAGAAAATATGAACAGCTGGGACTACATCAAATTAAAAAGCTTCTGTATGGTAAAAGAGACATTAACCAAAACAGACATGCTACTGATTGGGGAAAAAATTTGCACACAATACTACCGATAAGGGACCAATCACAAAGTTCTACAGGAGCTCACACAACTCAACACGAACACTATGCACTATGAGCTATGCACTATGAACCAAGGATTCTGTGGATTTCTACACAGAGCTTTGACTCACTTTCTGGGTTGAAGCATCTATTTCTCAGCAGCAAGGCATTCAATGAAAGGCTTTATACAAGATTATACATGACTACTACTCATTAGCTGTCACATAGGGATGATTATGTGCCACAATTGTAGTGGGAACTTTACATATATTTAATGATCATTTATTATGTCCTTTCAGGCACAGAGAGGTTAAGAAAATTTCCCAGAGCTGGTTGACCCAAGCAGTCTAGATCCTGAGTGAAAGATCTTAACAGCTATTATTGCTTTTTCTTTGATATTAGGACAAGTTGAAATGGGGCTTAAACAACATTAGCATTTGATTTCCTTGGTGAATTGTAGTTTCTGTGGGTACAAAGTTAACTATTACCATTTACCTAATCATGGGCTTTTTTTAAAAGAAACTTATTTTGTGAAGCTTATAGGTAATTTTTAGAATATAGGTAATAATAATGAAGGAAACAAAAAAAAATGATGCATTATGAAAGGAAAAATTCCATTTTCTAATAAAATTGAGATCAAAGTCTTCACCTGTGAAGTGGAATTTCACCGATTCTGGGAGACCTGAAAGAACAGAGGAGGAAAAAAAATCAGTAAAATATAAATTTTGAAGTCAGGAATAGATGGCAAAGGTACAAAATATGGGGCTCAGGTAAAGAAAATAAAGATGTTTTAATCTAAATTATTATGGTTGAAGTAAAGATCACCCGGTCATTTGCTAATGTTATGTTGAGTTTAATGGTACCAGCACTAATTTTCAGTACAAAAAGAACCACATAGTGGAATAATTTTATATCACAGCAGTCAGGGTGATTTATAATACATTCATTCAGATCTCATTTTATCAGTACATAAAATCCTACAAATCAGTGAATGTGGGTGATGTTGTATGTCACTGACAAGACTCTATGGTAGGTCAATTCTATTGTAGAATTGAGTGATGTCTGGGACATTGATTTACACACTCTAACAGTCTGAGAGATTTATCTTGTGGCATTTATCCCATATATTATACAGGAGAGGACTGACTCTGCTCTCTCTAAAAGGACTCTAAGTACTCAGGCGAGTATAGTGCAAACAGAAATAGCTTTAACCATGGCTGACATGTTTTCTTTCTATCTAATCCCAGGATATCCTGAGTTTCTCGTAAAGTAGGTCTTATAAAGTAGGGGTTAGAGAACCATGAACATTCATGGGCTATTAGCTACCCATTTACTAAACACTGGGAACACAGAGATAGAATCTGGATAGTAAAGAGACACATGTCCACCCATAGAAAATTTTAATCTAGTTGAAGAATTAATTATGTTCTGGACAAATGCATTTATATAAATAATGGCAAATATTATGTGAAATCCTTGCCATCATTTAAAAAGTAACTCTAAAATTATTAAATCCATGATCAATTTACCATAAGAAATCAGCAGTGGTTCTGTATGAACAAAGCTAATATTGATACATAAAAACAATACTCTATATTACTCATGTTAGATAGACTTATATCTTAAAAAATAAGCTTCATTATTTTTAGCATTTCCAAGGCACACACATATTTCCAATCAGAAGTTGAAGTTTTTTTTTTTTAAAGATTTATTTATTTATGCATACAAGAGCTGGGGTACAGGCCAGGTGTGCAGGAGGTTGAGAGGATTCACCAGAGACAGAGTGGGGAACAGAACAGGCAGATTAACTGAAATACACTGCTGAGAGGAGCAGCGGGTGAGACAGGAAAGGTCTGCTGCACCATGTGGGTATCTCCCTGGCCGGCCGGGATCAAAACTGCGCTGCAGAGGTTTCGGACAGCTTCATAACACTGTGCTCAACCCCCTACACCACCAGGGAGGCCCCCAATCAGAAGTTTTGATGACTAGGTCAAGGAGAGGAATGAGGGGTGGCAGGAATTAAAACTATTTGGTTTAGTGGAAGGGCACATACTAGTTTGAATTAGAAGCTTGGTTATTCTTGTGCTCAGTATTTTCTTCCTTTGAAAGGTGCTTCTGTTAAATCAAGAGGTAGCCTGCTTTGGGCCTCCCTGGTGGCGCAGCGGTTGAGCGCTGGGTTGCGAAGCTGCCGGTGACCTCTGCGGCGCCGGTTCGATTCCTGGCTGCTCCCTGGCCACCAGAGGAGGGTCCCGCATGGCGCGCAGACCTCTCCTGCCGCGCGCTGCTCCCCTCAGCAGTGTCCTTCGGTCCTTCTGCCTGCTCTGCTCCCCGCTCTGGCTCTGGTGAATTCTCTCACCCTCCCGCGCTTCTGACTGTACCCAGTGCATGTACAAACAAAACAAACAAACAAATAAATAAATAAATAAAACATGCCTCTATTAAAAAAAAAAAAAAAAGAGGTAGCCTGCTTTTTCCATTTCTAAATGGGACCTTCTCTGAGGTACTGTAGGATCCTCTTCACTGGATTCCCCTCAAGGGGAATTCCCCCAAGGTCATCCACCTTGGCCGCCTCAAGTGCATTCACATCACCACAGTTCAGAGTTCCTTATGAAGACCCATTTACTCCCTTATGTCTTAAAAACCTCTGGGTTCCCGGTGTTCTTGGGAATAAGATCTAAATCCTTAGACACTTTCTTGGGCCTTTGAATCGGGCCTATATCTCTCCCTCCAGGTTCACCTCAGCTTGACCCTCCACATTTCAGACAGACAAACTGACTTTTTTCCATGCCCCAAACATCACATTCTCTCCTTCCCCTGGACCTCTGCCCATGAGGTGAGTGTCTCTCCTTCAGAATGTCCTCCTGACTATTCCAACACACACATTTAGCCTGGTTAGCTTCTACCCATGCCTCCACTGTCCATAACCTTCTGCAGCCTCCACTGACCACTTTGTCTAGGTTAGTCTTCTAATCCCACCACTGAGCACTCTTGTTTCTTTTCAGAGCTCTTCTCTCACCTGAAATTAATCATTCATAACTAAGATTATTTAACAAGTTCTGTCTCTATACTTATAGACCCAATCTTTCCAAGAACAGAATTTTTATGCCTCATTTTTGCTCACCACCGTATATATCTTCAGGGCCTCACTCAGTGATTGCTACAAGGAAGCACAGAATAACGATATTGCAATTATATTTGCATGCAAAAATAAATGAAAAATGATGACCTGGACCCAGATTACATATTGACTGACAGATCTTTAGCTAACTTGAAGAGCTATAGAGCAGTGTCACCAAACTCTCCAAAAGGACTAAAGGAAGATTCAGGGTGAGCCTGCAGTGACCATCCACAGAGTGCAGCTGGGGTGTTCCAATACAGAGGAATGTATTACCAGCGAAGGAGAAGGGCATGAGCTCCTGGAGGTGGGGGGCTGCAGATGGAGGACGGTACATGACTTTGCCCTGGTTGATATCATCCTGCGTGAAATACCGGATGGGAGAGTGAGGTTGGTCCTTGTGTTCGATGGTACCTGGGAAGGAGGAGACGCACATGAGCATGATGGTGACTCTGACTGCTGACTGAATGACATGGACCAGAGAGCTGCTTTCCACCGTGGAGACTTATTATTGAGGAACATTTGCCCTCAAGTTGCTCTTGGTATAGTATTCTGCATTTATTCAAGAAAAAGGCAAATCTTAACCCCAGATAGAGTCTTGACATGGGTTTGTTTACTATAAGGAATAATAAGATGCAAACTACTGCTCCTAGAGCAATATAATTCTCCCGAAGTCATACCCTGTACAATAGTTGTGAATCCTCCTAAATGAGTTTCAGTTCAAAGGTCAAGGTCACAGAGAAAATGGCACAGAGTGGTTTCCTGGTGATATTGTACAGTGATTTTCTCAATCTATCCTGTTTCCCTCAGAGACTCCTTAGTCTCTGTGATGGTTTTTGGCAAGAGTAACATGGATCTTGATTATTCTAAAAACTGGATTTGTAATTATCACTCTGCTGTGACAGATGCTTCAGAGGCTGCAGATTTGCCTGTCATTTTAAGGTCATCTTTCATGTCCTAGTAACTCTTTAAAAGGAGGGCAGGTGTGGAGCTTGGTGTTGAACCAATTCAACTTCAGAGTGGCTGAGAGACCTGCAATCATTCTCCAGCAGACAGCTGGGCTGCTGCTCATCTCCACCCTGGCAACATGGGGAAAACCATTCTCGCTGTGACTTGGCAGATTAAAAAAAGAGAGAGAAGGATGACTTTTAATTTCTTTGGACCTTATCAAAAGGGTAATGGAATTTAATTTTTAGACTATTGTTTTTCTTTGGGAATTTGATAATGTGTAAGGCTGACATCGAGGGCTCTGGTTGGTTTTTGAGAGAGCAGTGATAGAGAGAGGAGCAGTATAGCCTTAATAGAAGTTGGTCTCCCTCTGGGAAGAACAATCACACCTCTGTCAAGCATACACTTATTAGTTAAACCCAAAATTAAGAGATCTAAAGGCTGAAGACTGAAGACAGGGGTCCACCTCTCCTCTGCCTGTAGCTCTGCATTTCCATGTTCCTCTAGGGAGGAGCTACTTGTCCTGAGCACATGCTCAGTCTGGTTTGCGAGCCAGACCAGAATGCATCTTACTATTCTTACAGTCAACCTTAGCAGAGCAGGCTCTGTCCTGACAGACTGCCTATGCATGGAAGGAGGTCTTCAATCCATTGACTGGAGTTATAGATACACATACATGCTATCTGTGTTCTTCAGTACAGCTTTGTCTTTACCAAAGCTGACACATTCATCTCTGTCTGTCTGCCCACAGTGTCTCTCTTGGCTGGTTCTAAAGTCAGAAGACAGGCAAGAAATGTATGAATAATTGTTACTCCTTAAATCTTTTACAAGTATAAGCAGACAAAACTCTGGAGCTTTTAAGACCGGTCAACAACCAGAAAACCATAGCATCCCTCAAACATTCCTTTACTGCACATCTTACCTTGACTTGGATGCAGAGGTAAAGTGATATTATATATAATATTTCCACTTGATCTTTCAGAGTTTGCAAAAGAGAGGGAATGAGGCTGAATCACAGTTAGACTGTCTTCCCGAGCCTAAACAAAGTTCAAGGAAAAAAATTGTGTGATTAAAAACAAAAATTAGAAGCAAAACAAACCTTACTAAACAAACAAAAGCAAACTCACTCTTGACTTTTTTGTTAATTTTTAAAAAAGATTTATCTATTTATTTATACAAGAACCGGGTATAGGCCAGAGGCACAGGAGGGTGAGAGGTTTCACCAGAGACAGAGCGGGGAACATAACAGGCAGACTGATGAAATACACTGCTGAGGGGAGCAGAGGGCGCGACAGGAGAGGTCTGCCGTGCCATGTGGGACCCTCGCCAGCCGGCGGGGATGGAACCAGAGCTGCAGAGGCTGCGGACAGTTTCACAGCGTGGTGCTCAACTGCCTGCACCACCAGGGGAGGCCCTCACTCTTGACTTTTAAGTTAGTCACACATAACAAAATTTTCTCCCAGAGTTCAAAAGAAAGATCTGATCTCTTGCACTGCAGATTTGTCCTGCCTTTAGGAACCGCACAGGATTATAAAGTTCTCCTTAGTTCTTCTTGTACCCTGGCTCTTCATTGCTCCCCTGCCCTTGCCCCAAGGATTATGTTTGTGCAAACTGTGGGAGTCCCAATATCATCACTTTTCCCTAGGTGGGACTCACAGGGGTACATGTGTGAAAATGAGCCTTCACAGCTGGCTATTCTACTCTTCCACGACTCACAGCTGGATCCTTTCATCTCTACTCCTCTAATTTAACGGGCTAAAGTTGTAGCTAGTGAAAGAAGTTCTCCAAATTCCCCAAATTTGCTAAAGGAAACTATGATGTTTTCTGGTTTTAGAGGGTTAAAGATGAATTCAGTCTAAATATCAAAGGACTTGCTATTAGAAATCAGAGGCTTAAGAAGTATTTATTAAAGCATATTAAAACAGTCAATATTTCTCTTTGTCTCCATTGTACTGTTCAAAAGAACTAGATACTGTCTTTCTTTTCTGCCTTCCAGGATCCAATAAATAAGTCAAAGGAAATTAATCAGAAGACCATTGTGTATGTACCTTTCACTATTCATCCATCTATGTACATCCATAACCCACAGACAATGGCAACACTCAAAAAATAAAAAAGGAGAAATTTGGAATTCCATGAGTTGGTGTAACAGTGAATTGTGGACCACAGCAAAAACACAGTGTGTAGAGTTAAGATGGAAAAGTAGTGTGACCCTTGCCTGGGTCACACAAGTTGTTAAAAAGCAGACCAAAAATATCCGGCTCCTTGCAAGGTTGCAAGCTCTTTCTAACTGACCCCGGAGGGTTAGAGTTTGACATGTTCTCCTGCTCTTTGAAGCTGTGCTTCTTTCAGAAAGAATTTCCCCATTTAGGAAAAGATTAAGTAGGGCTCAGTAGTTCTCATGGAGGAGGGTGTGGTGTTCTTTTTAACCACTAAAAGATTGAAGGTTGCAGTTGCTTTATAATTGTCCCCAAGGCATAAAAGTCCTGGAGAGAGGCAGCCATTACAGGTTAGAACAACCCCCCTTATAGTAAAGAGTCGTATTTCAGGACATTGAACAGGTCTGGAATGTAATGAGCAAGGAAAATCAGAATTTCAAATAGCAGCTGGTCTCTCACCCTAAAATAAAACAAGTAAGGACAGCAAATTAAAAATGTGTGCCTATATAAGAGAGTTACAGACCATGTATGTGTATACACACCTATAAAGATGAGCACATGTGAGTACAGATGCAGGGGAAGGAAGTGCAGACTGTGTACATTGTACAGTACTGCTTCCCTCAGAACAACTGAAAATCTCAAAACCCTCAGAACAACTGAAAATTATCAAAGTATTATGTGACATTTTTAAAAACCAAGATGTCACTAAAACAGTAAAATGATAAGAGAAAATTATTATGGGCATAGGACTATGAAATATGGAAATTAGTTTCATCCAAGATAGCAGATATTTTATTGTGGAATTTATTGACATTATTTCTCTTCTAATAGAAATGGACACTAGGCAGAAAAAGTAAAAACTTGATTGTCTGAAGAAAGCAATATTGAGGTTGAGATATATCAAAGTACAATCAATTTTAAATTGGCTATTTGGAATGTTCAATATTTATCAATTAAACATAGCAAGAAATAAGAGATTGAATTTTATAGAAATCATTACTGAAAAATTTTTTTCATTAAACTCTCTGTCAACAAAAGAAGATCACAGAATAATGGTTTTCATAATACCCATATTACTTCTGAGTATATTCAGATTCCAACTGCTTCTTCCCTCTGCTGTTCCCACCACCCTCCTGGGAGCCGCACTCTGACCTGGAAGATGACCAGGGCCTCCCAACTGCTCTCATGGTCCCCCTATTTCAGCACAGCAGCCAGAGACATCCCATTAAAAACAACATCAGTTAGACCTCAGCTTAATAACTGCAATGGCATCCCATTTTATTCAGAATAAAAGGTAATCTTTACAATGGCCTGTAAGGCCTGACAATAATCTGCACCCTCGTACCTCCCCTTACCACTACACACTTAGCACACCTGTGAATTCATGTCAATGACTCTTGCTTTCACTCAGTCTGCTCCAACCACACTGGCGTCATCATTGTTCCTGGAACATATAAGCATGCTCCCAATTCCAAGCCTTTAAACTCATGGTTCCTTAGACATGACATGCTCTTTCCTCAGGTATCAGTGAAGCAATCACTCTTGCCTCCTGCAGGTCTTTCTTTAAATGTCATTGTCCTAACAAAGCCCACTCTGACCACTTTATTTAAAACTGCATCCAGGGCCACCCTGGTGGCCTAGGGGTTAAATCTCAGCATTATCACCGCTAGGGCAGTGCTAACCCCCACCAGAGAGCAAACCCATACATGGTTCAGTAGATCTCTCTTGTCTTGCCCACTGCTTCCCTCAGCAGTGTATTTCAGTAGATCTGCCTGCTGTGCTCCCCTCTCTGTCTTTGGTGAATCCTCTCATCCCCCATCCCACAGCACCTCTAGTTCTATAATAAAATACAATTCTTCTATAACAAAATACAATTAAAGATAAATAAATAAAAAACTTCTGCCTCCACCAATACATTTCCAATTCCTTTGCACTTGACTGCTGTTTTGTTTTATCATAATACTCCCCACTGACTTGCTATAAGTGGATTATTTATTACTACTTATTGTCTAGTTCCCCCTAAGAGAAGATAAACTCCATGCATATTTGTTTGTTCAGGCACTGATCCCCAGCATATAACACATGGCACATGGAAGTACATGGAAGTACATGGAAGTACTCAATACATATTTGTTAAATGAATGTAAACTACCATTAAAAAAATATTAAGCTAGGAAATAAATTAATAAAAACCTTTTAATAAACACTTTATCAATAATTTTTAAAGAATATTTTCTTTGTATTTCATGTCATCTATAGAATCAAAGGGTCAAATATTTTTACCCTTAAGCTATAGCAAAGCGTGTGTGACTTAAACCTTTAAACTTCCAGGTCAGGATTTATAAAGGTTATCATTTCACCCTCCATTAAAAGAAAGATCAACTTCACATGCTGACTATCATTTTACCAAAGCAGCAAAGCGGTTGGCAGACCTGAGAAATTAGATGTCTGTGAATAATGAGCAAAAGATGATATAAGTAAAATGGAGTTTCTATAAGAAATCATATCACAGTGTCATTAGGAAAACAAATTAATTTGTTCATATACGCAGGTAGCAGATATTTAGTAAGAACCTACTATGTGCAAGGCAATAAGGAAAGAGCAGTAGGATATGTAAGATGAATCAGATATAGATTTTTTTCCTTAAGGAATTCCAGTTTTTAATAGAGGAAAATTGTAAATAACTCTAATGCAGAGAATAATAATAGCATGAAAGTCTTAGATAAAGCACAACAGGAAATCCAAGGATAAAGTAACATTTCCAGAGATAATAATTTCATTAGTGTCTGAAAGGTCTTAAGAGAAAGCATGGACGGGGCCTCCCCGGTGGCGCAGCGGTTGAGCGCTGGGTTGCGAAGCTGCCGAAGCCTCTGCGACGCCGGTTCGATCCCCGGCTGCTCCCCGGCCACCGGAGGAGGGTCCCACATGGCACGCAGACCTCTCCTGCCGCCCGCTGCTCCCCTCAGCAGTGTACTTCCGTCCTTCTGCCTGCTCTGCTCCCCACTCTGGCTCTGGTGAATTCTCTCACCCTCCCGCACTTCTGACTGTACCCAGTGCATGTATAAACAAAAAACAAACAAACAAACAAATAAATAAATAAAACATGCCTCTACTAAAAAATAAAATAAAAAAAAAATTAAAAAAAAAAAAAAAAAAAAAAAGAGAAAGCATGGACACAATCATAAAATAAGTAAAGCTTGCCCAGACTTGAGAGTCTGTATCACAAAAGAGATCAACTGTCCTAAACAGGCCCCTGGCAACCCCAGTAAGAGAGGTTTTAAGAGATACAGCAATCACTTTGGAATCAAATGAAACCAGGAAAACCAAAAAAAAAAAAAAAAAAAAAAAAAAAAAGGCTCATTCAAGGTCTTTCCCTCAACGGGTGACCAACCCTGAGTACAGCAATCATTCAAAAAAGGAAATAATAAAATATTTCATTCACATTAAGAGATAATAGAATTTACTTCTTCTTTAAGAGCAGAAGTGAAAATATGATATTCAAAGTGTGTATGTGCCCAACTGACTATTTTGTTATATGAATCTCAAGGTAATACAATTTAGTAAGATATTAGCTGTGGGAAAGGAGGTGTGAAAATAGTCATTCAGTGAACAAATATTTATTATTAACTAACTATTCTAGAATGGGCATTGTGCTGGATGTTGAGAAAGATACCAAAATGAATAATCATAGATTTTACCCTTCAGGATCTTCTAAGTCAAATAGTGAATGATTACTTTGAAAAATGTGAGTTAATGTGACTCTCAACTTATTTGCTGAATCTTAGATTAGTTATGCAATGAAATTTATTGGTAAATATGCATGTTTTCATATCTCCTTGTCCAATATAAATATACGTAAGATACATATTTAGGATATATATCCTAAATGCATACATCTTGCATGTTTATATATCTACATCTTAAAATGCTATACATATTTGCACACATATATGTGCACATATGAAAATAATTCTGATAAGCACGAAGAATAAAACCATAGGATCCCATTTAAAGGATCTTAGGTTGGGGGCCTCCCAGGTGGTGCAGCAGTTGAGCGTTGGGTTGCGAAGCTACCCGCAGCTTCTGCAGCACTGGTTCGATCCCCGGCCACTGGGTGAGGGTCCCACATGGTGCGCAGACCTCTCCTGCTGCCCGCTGCTCCCCTCAGCAGCGTCAGTCTGTCTGTTCTGCTCCCTTCTCTGGCTCTGGTGAATTCTCTCACCCTCCCACGTTTCTGACTGTACCCAGTGCTTGTATAAATAAATAAATAAATAAATCTTTTTTTTTTTTTTTAAAGAAAGATCAAAAAAAAAAAAATCTTAGGTTGGCTGAATTACAAAAATTATAGAAAGGTTAAAGAACAAATTTCCATTTAAGCAAGTATTTGATTATGTTGCTTTTCATTCTATATAATCCTGGAGATTCTCAATTAAGCTTAAGGATTTAACCACTACCTGCCATTAATGATTTATCAAAGGTTTATCTCCCACCCAGAATATCAACTGACATTTTAACCCGCCCTTAAAAGGCATATCCCAAATTGATCTCATCACGCTTTCCTTTCACCCCTTTCCCTAAAGTCCTCATACGCTCCTGATTTCAACAGTATCACCTTATACCCCAAAACTGGGATGTTTCACTATCCTATCATATGTAATTGACTACCATGTCTCTAAATATCTCTTACTCTTGCCCTAACTTTTTAGAAACCAAATCTTAACCACTTTTTAATGTATAGTACTATTAAACAAGAAAAACTTTACAGCACATTTTCGTGCAATAGATTTCTAGAATTTTTTCTTACTGCAAAATTTGAACTCTGCATATCCACTGAACATTAACAACTCCCTTTTCCCTTTCTCCAACTCCAAGCTCCCCACCTCCTGGGTAAAACTACCATTCTACTTTCTGTTTCTAGGAGTTTTACTACTTTAGATAGATCATATAAGTGGAATCATGCAGTCTTTGTCTTTTGTGGCTGGCTTATTTAATTTAGAATAATATCCTTAAGGTTCATCCATTTTGTGACATATGAGACAGGATTTACTTCTTTTTTTTTAAGATTGAAAAATAGCCCATTGTTGTATATACCCCACTTTGTTTATCCATTTATTATCTGTCGCAGCACATTTCGTTTGCTTCTACTTCTTGGTTACTGTGAATAATGCTGCAATGAAGATGTGTGTGCAAGCATCTCTTGAGATCTCGCTAACTCTTAATCCTTATTTCCACTGCATGGGGTTCACACTGCTTATGTTTCTTGTTCTAGATTACTGTAATAGCCTTTTTCTTGGCCTCCTTGCTCCCTGTTAGGCCCCCATCCAGGTTGTTCCCTGCCCTGCAGTCAGAATGATCTTCCTACATTGAAAATCTGATCATGTCGCTATGAAGCGTTCAACATCCTACTTGCCCCAACAGCCTTTCAGGACAAAATAGAAATTCTTCTACTTATCCTTAAGCTTATCCATGATCTCACTCTCATTTCTTGTTTCTTTATTTTGTTTGTTTGTTTTTGTTTTTTTACCCAAGGCTTAATGCTTCAAACAATTGAACTCTGTCATTTCTTGAGCATGTCATGTTCTTTTGGGTCTCCATCTTTTTTTACTTGCTGCTCCTCTGCCTGCAATGAATTCCCCCTTAGCTCTAGTCTAGGTCAGTGTGATTTTTTCAAGTGTGGTGAGCAAAGCAAGCAGCAAGAGTATCATCACGAAACCTGATATAAATGATGATTCTCAGCCCTATATGAGACATCTGGTGAGGGGCCCAGAGATGCGTGATTTAACAAATCCTATAGGAAGGGTCCTAATGCAGACTGAAGTTTGAGACCCTGCTCAAGAGATAATTTACCCTTTAATTAGCTTAATTTACCTTCTAGAGGAAGCCTTCTATGACCTCCATATCCACTGGACTAGGTACCCTCCTATTTGTTCCCATGACATTTATCACTGTATTGCCACTATTTATTGCTTGTTTCCCATGTAGATTCTAAGTTTCTTGAGAATAGACTGTTTAATGGCTATTGAAACGTCATTGTCTTCCATAGCACTAGGCAAAAGTTAGGGGCTCTAATGTGTATATGACTCTATGACTGAATAATGGGAGATAGACTCTTACCCTTAAATACATGTATGAACAGGGCCTCCCTGGTGGTGCAGGGGTTAAAATCTCAGCACTATCAAGCTACTGCCAGCCACTGCAGCATGAGTTTGATCCCTGGCCAGGGAGCTAACCCATATGGCATAGCAGACCTCTTCTGACTCACCCACTGCTTCCCTCAGCAGTGAATTTCAGTAGCTCTGCCTGTTCTGCTCCCCAATCTGTCTCTGGTGAATTGTATCACCCCCTCGAACCTCTGAACTAGACCCAGTTCTTGCATGCACAAATAAATTTTAAAAAATAAATGTATGAATATACTTGTGTACTTAGCATATGTGCTCATAATATTTACCAACTATGTGCAAAATGTGTATGTTTAGATGAGTCCAAATCACTGAACTGAGAATGTGTTCTGTAATACATGACCAGTATGTCCTGCAGCAATTGCCCTGACTAATGTCAAAAGAAATACAAACTTTAAAGAATGAAATACTAGAACAATCATACTATATGCTAAACTAACCTCTGTGATATTCTAAGTTATGCTGGACAGACCTAATTTGCAAACAGCAACTTCAGATCCTAAAGGTTAAGTTACTTGAAAAACCTCTAGAGGTCCACAGCAAGAGAACAGGAACCATCTTCTTGGCATCTGGCCCATTTATTTCTTCTAAACTCAAAATAACACTGCATTAGCATTTGGCAAGAATTGTGTATGCACATTTTTCCTTGTACTTTAGAGAAAATTCTGATCCAAGCTCCTCCAGTCAGAATGATGAATTATAGACTTTACAGTGTTGCTGAATTATGATTTCTTTAAATTACGGTTTATGGTGGAAATGCCGATACCAGCTATTCATTAAAAACTTTCTATTTCCCCTTTTATGTCTCTGTCATGCCCCAGACCCATAATTTCTAAAACTATAGCTGCTCTCTTTGTTGTGGCTCAGGGCTGATACACTGCTTTGGAGTTTGTAATTATGTGGGTGCTAACTAAAATTTGGATCCATAATGATTAATTTACAAGGTCTCATATGCTCATGACTCTGTCTAGAAGAGGGGCTCTGGCATCACAAGCCCTCTAGAAATCAGTTCACAATGGAGTTGCTAATTGTCTGAACAAAGCTTCATGTACTAATTTGGCTGGCAGCTTTCCTTGCAAGCACCCTTCTTCCCGCACAGCATACAAGGGTCTTGTGCTCTAGCTCACTGCCAATATCCTCGCCACACCTCCTCTGCACTCTTGATTTCTCCAACTATTTGCAATTTTCCCAACAATCATATTCTCTCTCTTGGGGTTTTTGCATGTTCTGTTTTTACATCCAGTAGTGCCTTTCACCATTACCTCTCCATTCCTTCCAACCTACCCCCAAAATTTCCCTTGGAAAAGTCCATCTGTATCTCTGGATACAGCATAGACATCACCTTCTTCAGGAAACTTATAATAGAAAGGAGACTTCTAGTAGGGCTTCTAAAACATAGAATAAAGATTCCTCCAGCTAGGGGAGCTATAATCGACTGAATAATTATATCAGCTGGTATTGATTAAAGACCTGAACCCCTTCCAAATATGCAGGGAGAAGGCTTTTGTCTGTCCGGTGGTACAAAAGATATCAGCAATGGATGGGAGGTTGAGATGGATTCCCTCTAACCTCCTTTTTTACTCTGAGAATTTTAAGTTTCCTTTTCAAGTCAATGAGAAACGTGTGCACAAAGCTGGTATTGTTGGTCCCAGAGTCTGTGTTCTGGGCCAGGCATTCATAGTACATGAGAAGGGGAGACTATTAAATCCCAAGAGCATACCTCCTTCCACCTCAGCCATGACCTTTCCCACCCGACTCACGGTCATATGGAGAGATGCCCCCAGGGACAGCTTCGGAGCTTCAGGTGTCTGTGGTAAGATGGCGATGTTGAACATGCGGCTCTCCAGATGGGTGTGGGCATCTGTGGCACTAGACACCTGTAAGCAAAGTCACCAGTGAGTCTCTCATCCTCTCTTGGATGAGTATGTTTGCTTACATTTATTTTTTTTCACTTTAAGCCATGTGCCTTTGAATTCCAGTTTTCTTGTATGACAATTTTTACCCTGCTTTTCATATTTTAATATTAATTTTTTAATGATTATAAAAAGAAACAATTATTTTAAGCAATTCTGAAAATGTATTTCTTATAAGAAACAAGAAATGCAAAGTTCTCTAAAATTTCATCACCTACATGTAAGTAGTTATTAAAATACTTAAGCTTGATTTATTTGCTATGTATACATCAAACTTTATATACAATTATGTATTTTAAATTTTTAATTAATATAGCTATGTTATTTTGCTCTATCATTAAACATTCTTGGAAACATAATTCTTGAGTTACAGAATGTATCATTATAAGCATTACCAGCATATGTAAATCATGTTATATACATGATTTTTATTCTATTTCTTAAATATTTACTCAAAATGTATGTGAGGATTATAAATGATAAATCTCAGTCTCATCACTCTAAGGGTAATAATATTTGCAATCAGGGTAGCAGTCACAAAATCAACTTTTTCTTGTTTTAAGAAAGCTAAAAAATGATGCCTTTCCTTTGCAGCTTCTCCCCACCCTCAGTGCTTCTGAGCTGCTCCCTTACCCTCCCGGTTTGTCTGCTCTACCTTAGGCTTGGTACAAGATCTGTAAAGGTCTGCGTGGCTGCATATAGTTGCAGGGGGTAGAGGTCTGTAAATCTGAGAAAAGGGCAGGAATAGCAGTCTTTACACCCTATAGGAAAACTGCCCTCTTTATCTTGATCATTCAGATATCTGGAGTTCAATTTTCAGAATATCTACATATTTTCATGGAGACAACTTGAGTGTTGCTATAAATGATATTAATCACAATAGCCACAATTCACTGAACATCTATAAGGGGCTTAGCATGGCACGAGCTTTTTTTCAAGAGTTATCTTACTTAATGCCCACAAAGTAAATATTATCTTCTTTTTTTCACAAATGAGGAAACCGAAGGACAAAAATGTTAAGCAAAGTGTCCAGGTCACAAAGACAATAGGGTCAGTATTTAAACAGGACAGCAGGTTCTTGATTTTCCTACTGGCCAAGATGACTCAATTTGTTAGCTTTAGGAAATTAGGAAAAAAATCTGTTCTACTATGTCTAGAAGAAAAGCAAGGAAGCACAGTCCAGGTAAGGAAATGTGGGCACATTACTGAGGAAGGGAATGAGTTATAACTTTCTAGTTAAGGACATTGGTGGACATGTGTTGGTCTTTGTCAAATCATGTAACCCTGAAGCTGTGTTAATGTGATTTAAATATACCCAAACCAGGATAACTTCCCAAGCCAAAAATGACTGTAAAGGCACATGCTTTGCTCTCACTCTGCCATGCTCTCTCTCTCTCTATATTTTTTTTTTGTGGGACCCTCGCCTGTGGCCGGGGAATGAACCGGCACTGCAGAGGCTGTGGGCAGCCTTGCAGCCCAGTGCTCAACTACTGTGCCACCAGGGGAGGCCCCATGCTCTATTTTTTTTAATCATCACCTGCACTACATAAAACCAAGTCTTACATGCAAAGGAACAGATGGTGTGCATTGATGGCTCATGACAGCACATCAACTTAAAATGGAATTAAATCCATGTAATTCATTGCATTGTATTTTCTACTTTAAAGAAAAAAAGAAGAGAAGAAAGAGAAGAATCACTAGAGCAGCATCTTTCTTCATTTAAAATTCTTTAGGGACATGGAAATGATGAATGGGAAAAGTTGCTAACCATTTATTTTAGCACATAGTTATAGTTTCTGTGTCATTTCAAATCAAAATATGAGGTACGCCTATAAAACAATAAGACTTCAAAAACAAACACACAAAAACTTTTACATCCAGGAAAACATAATTTTGAAGACTTATTTTGTATTGGCAATAAAGATTCTGTCAGAGTTCAAAATGTACTTTTTGGAATGTTTTCAGAGGGTGTTCACATATAATGTAAGAAAACTGAGCTTGTTAGTTCATAATTTCTCCTTGCTTTAACCAAAAATAATTACTTCTTTTTTTCTTACCAGACATGATTCTGAAACACTTTTAGCTATTTGACTACATTTTAAAATCCATTTCCAAAGGACTACATACTGTCTGCATTGCAGGTATTCTAGAAAATATCCCATTGGCTTTGAGGAGATTTTCAACAGGAGTTCTAAACACACTTTGAGCAAAATGTGTGAAGACTGTCCAAAGGGAACCACTTTCTAAGTATAACTTAGAAACTTCTAAATATATGGGCTGTCTTAAACTCTAGGGATTGTTTTTAAAAAATTGGTAACTTTTGTGATTTTACAATTACCCACTTACTAGCCAACTTGAGAAAGCAATCAAGTGTTATTTTGAGCAGGTGCTGAGAATCCCCTTCCAGGGAAACACTCCATATTTATAATGTTTTTCATTCTGATATCTCCAAGGCAAAGGCAGACCTGCAAATTCTAGTTTGCTAAGGTGACATCTTTAGATTGAGGTCTCTGCCTGCATTCTGACTCATTCTTTGAGGATTGCTGTGTTCCCAGGTACTAAAAATGAAAAGTTAACTTGGGCAAAGGGCACATAATATTTGTTCACTCAGTGGACATTAAATGTGCTCAGTATAATCTCAATTTAACGGTTTCTAAATTTATTTCAAACTGTTCTCTAGAATAGCACATCTTTCACACAATATAAATTAATCAGGCAATGAAGATGTGCACGCCAGCCATCAGAAACAGAATGGAGGATAATTTTAACAACATGAGCTATCATAGTGATTTATCCCCAACTAGATTCCAAGACAAAGGAGAAGCGTCAGAAGCAGAGGGGACATGACACTGCTTTGGCTTGTGCCTAGGGGCCCGTCTTTGTATTTTCTCTGATACTTTCGCAATTTCTTCTCTGTATCTATGCTTAAATGCTCTTTCTATTCATAATTCCTCATTCCTTTGTAGTTCTATTAAATTCCTTATTTCCAAATCGTGTTTGGCCATGGTGTGTCTAGTTTTATTGGTCTTTCTAAAGAATCAGGCTTCATACACATTTATCAATTCTAGCATTTTATAATTAATCAATTTCTCTGCTTATCTCTATTAATTCTTTCCTTTTGCTTTCATTAGGTTTCCCTTGGGGTTCCCTAGCGTCTTGAATTAAATATTTAGGCCATTTATTTTCATGCCTTCTTACTCAGTAACAAGAGCTTAAGGCCATCAATTTTCTTCTGAGGACTATTTTGTTCACATCATTTAAGTTTTCGTAAATTATTTCCACCTCATCAATATTTCCTAATAGTTTTCCATTTTGATTTTCTTTTAGTAATTATTTAGAAGACAACTTAAAAAATCCCAAAGAGTTTGGATTTTTTTATTTATCATTATTAATTTCTAGTCATATTTACTAATAGCCAAAGAATATGCCCAGTATAATTTCTTACTTTAAATTTATTGACAACCTCCTTATGGTTTGTTTTTCTTGGTTGGCTCAGGCTATGATACTATTCAATACCATAGACTGTGCAACTTACAACACAAATTAACTTCTCACAGCTGTGGAAGCTGGAAGGCTGAGATCAGGGTAACAGCAAGCTTGGGTTCTGGTGGGAGTCTTTTTCAGGCAGTTTTTCATTGTATAATCATGGGGGAGCAAAGACAGAACAAGCTCTCCAGTGACCTTTATACGTGTACTGATCCCCTTCGCAAGGGCACAATCTTTATGACCTCATTTATCGCTAGTCACTTACCGAAAGCTCTGACTCCAGCTACCATCACATGGGGGGCAGGCATAGTATTTCAACGTGGAATTTGGTGGGGAGGGTGCACTAAACATTGAGTTTATAGCATTAATACTAGACCAACCTTTATAAATGGTAACAACAAACAAACACCCAGTGATAGGCAATATTCTAAATGCATCATATGCATCAACGTATTAAATCCAAACAATAATTTTGTTTTACAGATCAAGAAACCAAAGCACAAGGATTTTACCCATGTAATTTGCCCCAAGTTATATAGCTAGGTCATGGCAGAACTGAAATATGAACCTGTTATTACCTAGTACATGATTGATCTTATCATAAGATGGTAAATATTCCAAAGACATCATAAAAAACCAAATGAGATGCTTTTCTGCATGACATTTTAATTCATCCTTTTTCTGAACACTTTAGCCATTATTATAAACCTCTTTGTTATGTAATGATTCTGCTTGTAGAGATACCCATAAGACTGAATTGACAGATTAAAGAAAATCTCTAAATACTGTTACATATTTTTATTCCCCCAAATGTGATTTTCAAGTAATCACACAAATGGCCTGAGCTGTTTATAAATAAGGAGGATGGTTTCCGTGGATCATCAGCCATCAGAAAAGTCAGGGAGCAAAGAGTACCTGAAAGCGGAAGGAGTCACTCTGGGCTGGGACTCCCGAGTGCCTGTACCACAAGATGCCTTCGTCGATGTCTTGCTGGGTGAAGGTGCTGGTGGGGGTGGCTGTCCTTCCATCAGGCAGGTGCTGCCCTTCGTCTGCAGGGCTGTCTGCAGGCATATTAACCAGAAGGACCAACTCCCCTAGGAAAGCCACAGAGTTAGTGAGGACCCCTGGGAAAAGTAAAATTAAGTCAGAGACCTCATTGCCTTTTCTTCTACACTTTTTTTCAATCAGAAGAGAAATAATGCACTTCTTTATTTTTATCCAAGGTGAAGGAAAGGACATTAACACAGAATACAATAGATAATTGAATCCAACTTTAGAAGTCCCAGTCTTTTAGCTAGTAGGAATAAATGTTATTCAAGGATGAAGTTACTGATGTATCTATTAAAATTACGTAAGGAGAATACTGCAAACAAATACTCCGGGCATTGAAAGGATTTATTTCTACCTACAACTTTCTATGAAAGACAACATTTTCCAAGCTGAAGTTTTTGGTGTAAAGATAATGAAAATTTTTAAAATTTCCAAAAAAGATATTCTTGGGAGAATTCTATACAATGAAATTAATAACTAACCCTGAAATGTATATGGCAAACACTACATGAAGCCTTTATATGATAGTTCGAGCCCAGCCCCACCCTGTCCAGTTGCATGAGCATACTTTCAGCTCTAAAAGCCTCTGTTCCTCATTGTAAAATGAAAGCAACAGCACATACTTCATAGGTGCTTAAAAATAATGTTGGTCATACTTATTGTTGTTATTTAATACTTTCAAAGATGCTATTATCATCTTTATTTTAAGGACAAATTTCTTTAGTCTTAGAGGTTGATAATTTGTTCAAGGTTACACAAGTGGTAAATGGAGGCGCTGGGATTTGAATCCAAAGCTGATATTCTTGGACATGAAACTGTTACCAATCATGACTGTTCTGTATTTCTAGAGGAACAGTTACTCTGTTAAAGACTGATCTGTGTTGAAACATTAATTCCAAAGAACACCTGCACCCCTATGTTTATAGCAGCACTATTTACAATAGCTAAGCTTTGGAAACAACCCAAATGCCCAAAAATAGATGACTGAATCAAGAAGATGTGGTACATATAAACAATGGAATATTACTCAGCAATCAAAAAAACATAAACTCATGCAATTTTCAGCAACATGGATGGAGCTGGAAGGGATCAGGCTCAGTGAAATAAGCCAGAAAGAAAAAGAAAAATGCCGGATGGTCTCACTCATAGCAGGAATCTAGAAAACCTAAATAAGGGACCAGGAAAAAGAATAACTATAAGAGAGAAAAAATCAAAATCAACAAACAAGTATGAACCAGAGACACACTATGGGGAAGGGGTGGGGTCAAAATAAGGAGTTGGGGTCAAAATAAGGAGGTTGCAATTGTATGGGGAATATAAAAATTAAATTAATAAAATAAATTCTCATTAAAGTTAAAAAATAAATAATAATACAGAGAAAACAAAAATATTTACCAACAGAGAAAAAAAATAAAAATAAAAACTGATCTGTGTTTTTTCCTTCTCCATTCTCTGAACTTTATTAGAATTGGAGCAAGGAAATCTAAAACTAAACAATATAAACACCACCAATCTGTTTCTATTGCTTATTCTTCACCTGAAGCTACTGTCTTCTGAAAGTGAGATTGCAGATACAGAGGTGTTATAGAAACAATTAAAGTTTCACAAGGAAAATATGCCTTCAAGTGAAGACCAAACAGAAGAGTAGATGAATCGCTAAAAATAGAAGCCATGTTCTCATGAAAATGCATCTGACAATAAATCTGAAAGAAGCCTCCCTACCGCAATTGATAAGATATTTTGATTACTCCAAAGAAATTTGTTTTCTTACTCAAAGGCAATACTCTAATATTTATATGCACTAAATTCAAGTTAAAAAAGAGCATAATATCCTGGATGGTGATGAAGCACTGAAAAGAACAATACCAACACTCTTCTTTTAAACATAATTATATGTAAAATCATCTCACTCTAATTTCTTTTCTGTATTACATCTCATTTGTACCTAAGTTCCACATTTTATTACCTATCTCTTCCTGCTCTAACTTCTGTGCGTAAGATGCTACTAATAAACATACTGTTCCAGGATGTAGACAGTTTATAAATGTGAATACATATGCAAAATACTTTGAAGAGATTGTCACAATGAAAATGTGAAGAGCTGAAGGATAGAAAACACTCAAATGCTAATTTTCTGGTTATTCTGATTCATAATCCAAAGATTCAGCAGAATTTTCCTAGCAAAGGCTAATGAAATAAACCTATTTTTCAGATTTAAAAAATCACTGCCAGATTGTCAGGACTCACAGGAATCTTACTAATTTAACTCAGTAAATAGTTGGTGAGTACCTATAAGGTGCTAACTACTATTGTTGGTCCTTTAAGGAAGGGTAATTCACAGACAAGCAAGATGTAGTTCCTTCCTCTGAGATCAGCCCCCATGAGCATCGGAGAGCCATTGTGAGTTTTTTATTTATTTATTTATTTTTTTTTAATTTAATTTATTTATTATTTATTTTGTTTGTTTGTTTATACATGCACTGGGTACAGTCAGAAGCGCGGGAGGGTGAGAGAATTCACCAGATCCAGAGCAGGGAGCAGAGCAGGCAGAAGGACCGAAGTACACTGCTGAGGGGAGCAGCGGGCGGCAGGAGAGGTCTGCGCACCATGTGGGACCCTCCTCCGGTGGCCTGGGAGCAGCCGGGGATCGAACCGGCGCCGCGGAGGCTGCGGGCAGCTTCGCAACCCAGCGCTCAACCGCTGCGCCACCGGGGAGGCCCATTGTGAGTTTTTTAGTAGGTAAATTGCATGAACAAATTTGGAATACAGAATGTCTGTGATCAGAATACAGAGAACCTAAAGGACTTAAAGTCCTGTAAAAGAGGCTGTATTTTATTCTATAAACATAATAACAATAGTACTTAATAAATGTGGACAATTCGACCAATTATGAGGCTACTGAAAAATCCAGACTCAAGATGGGAACTTGGACTAAGGCAACAAAGCTAAGATTGGAAAGAAATAATCAGAGTCAAGAGTCACTAAGGAGGGCCTCCCCGGTGGTGCAGCGGTTGAGCGCTGGGTTACGAAGCTGCCCGCAGCCTCTGCAGTGCTGGTTCGATCCCAGGTCACCAGTGAGGGTCCCACATGGTGAGCAGACCTCTCCTGCTGCACCCGCTGCTCCCCTCAGCGGTGTACTTTGTTAGTCTGCCTGCTCTACTCTCCGCTCTGGCTCTGGTGAATTCTCTCACCCTCCCACGCTTCTGACTGTACCCAGTGCTTGTACAAATAAATAAATAAATCTTAAAAAAAAAAAGAGTCACTAAGGAAATAGAAGCAAGAGAAGTTGGCAAAACATTGAGCATGAAGGGTAAGAAAGAAACCTACTAGGTTGGGTGACAGGTAGGGAAGAGATGCCACTGATGGGGCAATCAGGCTGGAGGGATGATAAAGTGTTTAGTACTTGGGATGTTGCATACAAGGCACATTTGTGACCAGCACAAGAGTAGACAGAGAGAAATATCAGTATTTTATGGAGTTCACCCCAGCAAGATGAGAACATCTGCTTTTATCATAAAATAACAAATACAAGAGGATGACACTTTATATTAAAATCCAGGTTTAAAAAGCAGCCCAAATTTAAGAAACAGAATAACATCTATTTGGGATTCTTTCATGCTAAAGTCTATATTTAATTTATTTTTTAAAGATTTATTTTTATTGGGCCTCCCCGGTGGCGCAGCGGTTGAGCGCTGGGTTGCGAAGCTGCCCGCGGCCTCTGAGGCGCCAGTTCGATCCCCGGCTGCTCCCCGGCCACCACAGGAGGGTCCCACATGGCGCGCAGACCTCTCCTGCCGCCCGCTGCTCCCCTCAGCAGTGTCCTTCGGTCCTTCTGCCTGCTCTGCTCCCCGCTCTGGCTCTGGTGAATCCTCTCACCCTCCCGCGCTTCTGACTGTGCCCAGTGCTTGTATAAATAAATAAATTAAACCAAAAAAAAAAAAAAAAAGAAACTTTAAAAAAAAAAAAAAAGATTTATTTTTATTTATTTATGCATGCAAAAGCTGGGGTGTGGGCCAGAGGTGGGGGGGTGGGATGAGAGAATTCACCAGAGAAGAGAGGGGTGCAGAACAGGTAGATGTACTAAAATACACTGCTGAAAGGAGCAGCAGGTGAGACAGAAAGAGGTCTGTGGTGCCATGTGGGTTAGCTCCCTGGCCAAGGATGGAAATCATGCTGCAGTGGCTGGCAATAGCTTCACAATGCTGAGATTTTCACGCCTGTGCCACCAGGGAGGCCCGAAAGTCTATATTTTAACCAAGAATTCTGAAGAAAAAATTTAATAGGAATTTTGTTGGACTACCCAGGAATTATTTTGAGATTGAGATAATTTGTATTAAAACTTTCTTACCATAAGCTAAATAACTTCAAGTTGGTAGTGTGCTGGATTAAGTTAGATTCTTCCCCAAATGGTACTCAAATTTCTTCATTAAAACTAACTCACTACAGGGCCTCCCCTGGTGGTGCAGTGGTTGAGCTCTGGGCTGCGAAGCTGCCTGCAGCCTCTGCAGCACCAGTTCGATCCCCAGTCACTGGCTAGGGTCCCACATGGTGCAACAGACCTCTCCTGCCACGCCCACTGCTCCCCTCAGCAGTGTATTTCCTTAGTCTGCCTGTTCTGTTGCCTGCTCTGGCTCTGGTGAGTTCTCTCACCCTCTCACGCGTCTGACTGTACCTAGTGCTTGTATAAATACATAAATAAATCTTAAAAACAAAACAAAACAGAACAAAACTAACTCACTACATTTGCCTGTGAAGAAGCTGAGGATATCAGTATAAATCAACTTGTCTAACTTGTATTTGAAAACTGTGATGAGTCTGCAAGTGATTGAACTGAGGTCCTTCATGCTAGGTGAGCAATTTCCATTTGGTTCAGTTCCATGGTCAAGTCTTCACAAAAAGCTTAAAGCCCAACTGGAACATTCTAAGGTAATTAGGAGCAGATTGTAACCAGGTGGTGACGAGACAAGGGCACCACTTTTCACATCACTGGGACAGATGGAAGTCAACAGATTTGTGTTCAGTGAGATTGTGCTAAGTGGGCATCTAGTTCTCACTACCTTTTTCACTTTTGAATGGTCCCACAGGGTAATGTGATTTGATTATTGCTAACAGAGAGCTCTGCACACACAGAAAGATTATGTTCATAGGGAGAAGTTAATGAGAAAGAACAGTTATAGCAGGAAAGGGTCATCATCAAGCCTATGTGGCATTTTTCAAGATGAACTGGTTTAAGAAGCATTTAATTCAGCATTGTTATATTTAATACTTAAACAAAATATTGAATTACTCAGCTGGCTCTAGGAACTTTAGATTTTAGTAACTGAGATTAAGGTAGAGGATTTAATACATCAAAAGAATAAAAGAGTAAAAGATTTTTAGGGCTGAAAGAGACAAATATTAATCTAGCTTAAAGTGGGTAAAAGTATGGCAAACTTGAATAAGGTCTGTGGATAATTAGTAGCAATCTATTATTGTTAATTTCCTGGTACTTATCATTGTTCTGTGGTTATGTAAGATATTAACATTGAGGGAAGCTGGGTAAAGGACACTCAGAAGCTTTTTGTGCAGCTTTTGAAACTTTCAGTTTGGTTTAAAATTATTTTAAAATTAAAAGTTTAAAAAGTTATCTAATTTAACCTTTAAAAGAAACCTATGATTCAAGGGAGGGCACATGTAGCTTCCTCAAGATCAGACAGTTATTAATAAATGACAACCCAGTTCAAATGGCTGTTTTAGGATAACATCAACTCTTGATTAAATTATCTTTTCTAATGTCTTCATGGATACTGGAATTATTTTTAAATTGTACAAAACTATCTTTTTCTCATTACATTATTTTGAAAATCTGAAACCACAGAGGAAAAACAGATTATTACTTCTCTCCTATGGGCCATACTTCATACCAAGTGAGTTTTTTTTTTTAATGAATGTGATTTTCATTTTCAGGTGAAACCCTTCACTGATTTAAAAAAAAAAAAAAAAACCTACCTTCCTGTTCTTTAATCTTTAAAACACTTTATTTGCTTACAGTTTCAGTTTCTTCTTTTTGTGTCTTTAGATAATTTTAAATATGCTTATTTCACAGTTGATCCTATATTTTAAACTGTTGGGATTTTAATCTTGTTTGCTTTGGTTATGGATTTGTGATTTGTTTTCTTATATGTTCTGTAATTTTGAATTCTGAGCTAATCTTCAGTGGTTTTGTCTATGAGACTTCTTTGTGCCCTGGAGCATTCGTGGGCATTCCACAGCAGTGTCTACTAATTTCTGTAGGGAACCCAAGAATATCATTGACTTGACATTAATTTTCATAGTAATATCTCAGCTTTGGGATTCTCAAACAATGTACAACTCTGGATCTGCAGGAGAACGAAATCTGAAGTTCTGAATTCTCCACAGATATTTTGCTTTACCTTGAGCCACAAGAAACACCGGTAAGTTCTTCACCATCTTCTCTGTGCTGGTGAGCTTCTTTTTCTTTATCCTGTCCCTCTAAGGAAAGATATGTCCTCCCAGAATCTTTTTCTTTAATATATATTTTATTTTATATAATTCTTACATAATTTTTCATTTTTGCACATGTATGCATTTTCATTTTGGTTATATTTCCTATACAATTCCCACCCCCCTCATTTTGACCTTAATCTGCTTCTCTTTCCCCTCCCCCACTGTCCACCCCTACACCCCCCCCCAACTCCACCCCCCTGTTGTATGTCCCTGGTTCACAGTTGCTTGTTGATTTTGATTTTTTCTTTATTATAATTAGTCTTTTTACTGGTCCCTTATTTAGGTTTTCTAAATTCCTGCTATGAGTGAGACCAGCCGGTATTTTTCTTTTTCTTTCTGGCTTATTTCGCTGAGCATGAACCCTTCCAGCTCCATCCATGTTGCTGAAAATTGCATGAGTTTATCTTTTTTGATTGCTGAGTAATATTCCATTGTGTATATATACCACTTCTTCTTGATCCAGTCATCTATTTTTGGGCATTTGGGTTGTTTCCATAGCTTACCTATTGTAAATAGTGCTGCTATAAACATAGGGGTGCAGGTGAATATTTCAACTTTCTGGCTCCACATGAGTGTTAAATCTCAAACCCCATGATTACATTCAACCCTTCTCAGGGAAGTTATTCCATTATCTCATGCACAGACTGGCTTTCAGTTACTTCTTTGCTTCTGGTACCTGGAAATTTCTCTCTATTGGGAGGTCAGTTATGAATGCCTTATAATTCTTATTTTCTTTTATTCAGCACTGATGGAGAAAATTTCAGGTTATAATTTCTACTATCTTTCTGGAAATTGAAGTAATAATAAACAAAAACATTGAAAAATGTTTTTATGCAAAGTTTTTTTGTTTGTTTTTAAAGAAAATTATCATGAAGTCTGGTGATATTCTGGGGTTTGAGAGTCAAAGCTTTGAAACTAAACTAATCTATATTAGTTAAGTGAATTTTAGCAAGTTATTTTCTCCATAAAAAGAAGTTGCTTTAGAACTTAAATTTTGAAATTTATATTTAATATGTTTACATTACTTAGCGCTCCATCTAGTAGATAAAATTTGTACAGTGTTATAGCAATTATGATTATTTTGTTTTTCAAGATGCATCATCAAAAATCAAGTCCAAGACTGCAGAACACAATGATCATGCAAAAGAAAAAAAAGTTACCAAATCGAGGGTAGTCCTCTGTAATTTTGTAGATGATTTCTGAGGCACTGGCACCTGGAGCTTCAGCCTGTAAGATTCTATTGGTAATCTGTAGCATCCCCCCTTCCGGAACCCACACCATTGAATTAGCCACAAGTCGAAGACTGCCATCATTCTAGAATAAGGAAAGAGCAAAGAATTGGGTCCAAGTAAAATAACAAAATGACAGTCTTTTAAAATATAAGTTTTCAGATCTTATTGCTATTAAAGATTATTTAATAGTAGAGAATCATAGCTTTAGAGTCACAATATAAATATAATGCATGCATATTATATATGGATACAAATGCATATGTGTACATATGTATTTGTCCTACTTTTGTTCTAAGTTAACATAAGTAAGTAACTTATTTCATTCATGAAGACTAAGTCTCCCCATTTCTTTATTTCATTTGTCTATCTATTTGTCCTTCCATCTTCCCCATTCACTGACATTCAAGAACTATTCATTAAGTACATTTATGTGCAGGTTCTTCGCTAGAGTCCTGAGACATCTAAGGATGGCTGAAACAAGTTTTAGAAATTACAGTCTAGTGGAGGGAGAGACACATAAATAGGATGCATCACAGTGATGTTTTATAGGAAGCTGGAACAGGTGCTGTGGAAAACAAAGGAAGAAGCTGATTTCTCATTGGGGAAGGAATGCCAGGGAAAGCTTTCCTAAGGAAATATTTCCATCTTAAATAACAAAAAATGGGCTTCCAAGTAGTGAAGTGGTGAAAGAGATTTCAGGTAGAAGGCCGAGTTCAAGCAAAGGCAAATATATGAAAACCCACTTCTTATTCTTAATAAAATATCCATGAACCTGGTGCAAGTAGAGGCTCAGGGAGCCAGAGGAGTAGGTGAATAAAAAGTTGGCTGGTTAGTAGAAGGTAGAAGCTATTTTAAACACCTGTATTAATCTTGTAGGTATTGTAAAGTCAACCTGGATCTTTAGGGAAGGAGATGGAATGATCAGGTCTGATTTTAGAAAGACAGACTCTAGCAGGAAGAGATGGACCAGAGCTGGGATGAATGGAGCTGTAAAAATCATTTAACAAGTTCCTGTAGCAGTGCAAGTGAGAGAAGATGAGAAGGTAATTGCAGTGGGAAGGGAGAGTTGGAAATAGATTCCAGAAACAACAGAGAGGCAGAATTGACAGGCCTTGATGGCTGATTGAAACTGAAGTCTTATCAACAGTTGGGAGTAGCTGGCTGGAAGAAATCAGCTTGTTAGCTAATGTCATTAAAAAAGCATTGCCACTCCTGATTTGCAAGGTGCACACCTTCTTCCAAAGCCTCATAATGGACATTTTCCACTGAATAAGATTAGCAAGGCTGCCAGTTTTCAGTTGTTTAAAAATGGGTAAATCTGATATTTCAAAAAAGGGCATTACAGAACACTTTTCTAAATTATTGTTATTACTTTCACATACGCCAATAATAGAATAGAGCAAACAGCACTCCCAGGAGACAAATATGCAGAAGAGCAGACAACAAATATTCCTCTGCAGTCACTGACATGAGTTCTTTTGTACCTCTCTGGAGGCATCCACAGCTATTTTTGCCACAATCACCAGGAAGCTGAGTCAAACAGTGCCTGGAGAATGGTAGCAAAGGCATCTTCTATAGTGACTGGACCTCAGGAGCACAATCCTGGAGAATTTTCTCCTTTCTTTACAAAATCATCACAGTGTGCCAAGAACTTCAAAATGTGCCAGAATTCTGGGATGGGGGAAGGCCCTATGAACTCCAGCAGAGTTTTATGTAACATAATACACTTGGGCCTGGTGCTTTAATTGGTCAAAATCTTCCTATAGCATCGGCGTAGCCAACTTTGATTACGCTTATGGACATCACTCAAACACTGACAGTGACATTGAACCAAGAAGGTGATGTGGTTTTTCATATTTTGAGGAAGTAAGCACTTGTGATCCTAATACATGACCCCAGATGTCTTTCCCATTACATCTCTATCTTGACTATATCAATACAATTCTCTGTAATTCCTGTGTGAATCTAAATTTCTAAGCTAAGTGGTAGTACTTCTTGCAAGTCAGTGTTCAGAGACCAGCAATATTTGGAAGCCTACTAAAAGTCTAGAATCTCAGACTCCATCTACGACCTTCCAAATTAAAATCTGCATTTATTTCCCCCCACCAATTTTACTGAAGTACTGACAGAAATTTTATATATTGAAGGTGCATTACACATCTTTTTGATACATGTGAACATTGTGAAATGATTACACTATCAAGCTAATTTGGATATCTGTTTCCTTACATACTTATGGTTTCTTGGTATGTGGTGAGACCACTTCAGATAAACTCTCTTAGCAATTTTAAGTATGCTACACAGCATTATTAAGCATAGTCACCACGGTGTACATAGATCTCCAGAACTTGTTCATCCTGTGTAATTGAACCTTTGTATCCTTTGACTAGTATCTCCCCAGTTCCTCTATCTCCAGCCTCTTGTAACCTTTATTCTACAATGCTTTATGAGTTCAACATTTTTAGATTCCCCATGTAAGTGAGATCATGCTTGTTTTCCTGTGTCTAATTGACTTAGCATAATAGTCTCCAGGCTCATCCACGCTGTCATGAATGACAGGATTTCTTTCTTTTAAAAGTATGAATACTATTTCACTGCATATGAAGACCATGTTTTTTTTTTTTTTTATCCAGTCACCCACTGACAGACACTTTTAGGGTGCTTTCACATTTTGGCCATTGTGAATAATGCTGCAATTAACACAGTGATGTAGATTTCTCTTCAAGACTGTTTTCATTGCCTTTGGATATACACCCAGAAATGGGATTGTTAGATGAAATGGTAATTCTATTTGTAATTTTGAAAGGAACATCCATCCTGTTTTCCATAGTAGTGGCATCAATCCTGTTTTCCATAGTAGTGGCATCAATTTACATCTTCTACTAGTAGTGTAGAAGGGTTTCTTTTCCAGAAAAATACTGGATGATCTCACTCATAACAGGAATTTAGAAAACCTAAATAAGGGATTAGGAAAAAGACTAATTATAATAAAGTAAAAATCAAAATCAACAGGCAGCTATAAACCAGAGACACACTACAAGGAGGGAGAAGGGAATAGGATAAAAACAAGGGTGGTGGGAATTTTACGGGGACTATAACCAAGATGAAAATGCATAGATTGTACACAAATGAAAAATGATGTAAAAAAATATAAAATCAAAAATTAAAAAAAAAATGAAGTGTTCCTTTTCCTTTCCACCCTCACCAATACTTATATCTCATCTTTTTTGTTAATAACCATTATAAGAGGTGTGAGGTGAAATCTCATTGTGGTTTTGATTTGCATTATCCTGAAGGTTAGCTATTGGATAGTTATTGTATTGGCTATTTGTATAGCTTCTATTGAGAAGTATTTATGCAGGTCCTTAATCCATTAATTTTTTTTTCCTCTCTGAGTTGAGTTCCTTACATATTTTAGGAACATTTTTTTAAAGATTTATTTATTTATACATACAAAACTGGGGTACAGGCCAGATGTGCAGGAGGGTAAGAGACAGCCAGAGTGGGCTACACGTGGCCACTGCTAGGCGTGTACACATGATTTAATTTTTCTGGCACTGTTCTCTCCTTCTACTATATATATTCCAATCTCCAGAGAATCTCTTTCTCTCATTGGCTGTGTGCAGAGGATCAAGATAAACTTTGGGTCACTTCTAAGTTCAGAGTTGGGGGTGGGGATTGTAACATATGGAAGTGCATAGTTTCTTTTCTTTTTTTTTTTTTTTGATAGTTAACCACCCATTGCTTTATTTTTTTTATAATAAATTTTATTTTTATATTCCCCATACAATTGCAACCCCCCATTCTGACCCCAATCCCTCCCCTCCCGCCCCCCACCCCCCAAAAAGTGTCTCTGGTTCATAGTTTTTTGTTGATTTTGATTTTCACTTTCTTATAGTTATTCATTTTCCTGGTCCCTTATTTAAGTTTTCTAGATTCCTGCTATGAGTGAGACCATCCGGTATTTTTCTTTTTCTTTTTGGCTTATTTTGCTGAGCATGATCCCTTCCAGTGCCATCCATGTTGCTGCAAATTGCATGTGTTTATCTTTTTTGAATGCTGAGTGTAGCCCACTCTGGCTGTGTGGGGTACAAAGGCATCTGTGAACATCTTCTTGAAATGCCTTTCAAACATCCTCTGAATTACAGGAAGAAAAAAAATGTAAATGAATTTCAAGCATTATCTTTTTATTTTAAAGTCTGTTTTGTTGCTTCATTCTGTCTTATTTCTTTGAATTGTGGTGTTGAAAAGACCACAAAGGCTGATATCCTCTTCTACTTTATAAATGAGGAAATTCAGCCACCAAGCAGTGGCCAGCCGGAAGCCACAGAGCCCATGTCAAAACCGTAACTCAAAGACCCAAAGCTTCGCAATTTTCATTTTTCAAATGACACCAAAAAACATTCTGTATTCCTTTTACAAGATGTGGCATGTTTAATTTTTAAAATAAAGGAAGTGTTTTTGAATTCTGAAAAAAAAAAAAAAAAAAAAAAAGAGATTCACCAGAGACAGAGTGGGAAACAGAAAAGGCAGACTGACCGAAATACACTGCTGAGGGGAACAACAGGCGAGACAGGAGAGGTCTGCCGCACCACGTGGATATCTCCCGGGCTGGCCACGAGCGAATCCGCATTGCATAAGCTGGGGACAACTTCACACCACTGCGCTCAATTGCCTGCACCAGCAGGGAGGCCCCCTTATATATTTTAGATATTAACCCTTTCTCAGCTATATGATTTCAATTTTTTTTCTTCCATGCTCTAGGTTATCTTTTCATTTTGTTGATTGTTTTCTTTGCTGCACATCTTTTTACTTTGATGCAATCCAATTTGTAGTTTAACAAGCTCTCTAGGACATGTGGAGTCATGCTACAGTGTGAGAAGCACAGCCCAGGCGAGTAATCTAGAAATCATGAAGATTCGAGGTTGGATCTTTTGAAAGTCTAGCAACAGGTCTTTTAGAATATTTACCTTTATAATAGGATAATAAATATGCCTCTGATTCTAAATTATTTGTTTATAGTACTTAAGAATAAATAGATACGTGTCTAAAGAAAGGAAGTGTAATTAAGAAGAAGTATTC